TCCTTCGTAAACGCCTTCTAATAGATCTTATCGACGATCTCGAGGTACTATAATAGACGGAGTCTCTTTACTATATCCTATAGGAGTTAATCGCGAGTTTTACTACTATCGGAAGCGATAGCGATAGCGCTAGAATAATCGAGTAGCTTCCGGTCTAACATTTCCTATATAAATAGGCCGACTATACGCGACCGATAGCTCCGCTATATTAAGCTCTTCATTTAGTAGAACTTCGGCTTACTTAGGTTTAAATTAGCTATATTAAAGTACGTAGCATCCTCTTCTAGCGTGTAGGCTAGCTATTCGCTATCTTTGTTAGTATTCTAGTAAGTTCTCGTTAAGGTATAGCAATAGTTTATTAGGATATAGAACTACGCCGGGGATGCTAGAATCTAATCGCGCTTGTCGAATAGCTAGGAGGCTTTAACGCTCTCGCTCTAGGTACTTAGGATACGCTTAATTGTAAGCTAATCGCTAACTACGATCTATAAGCGCTTTGCGAAGTCTCGTATCTCGTTAAGCTTAAGGAAGTCTAGAAAGATATCCTTCGTAACTTAGTATATATCTGCAATAGACACTTCGTTATAGAATAAGACTAGCAATAAACGAATACTAGCCTCCTTACTAAGCATCTTACTCGCGATTCGAATGCTAGACTATAGTATACGAGCTTTGTTCGTACCGCCTCGAGGATAGGTAGTAAGTACCTTATCCGCTCTAGCCGACTAATAGAGACTAGTCTTATAATTATTAAAGTTAAACTCTACGAATATAGTCTCTAATTCGCTCTTAAAGGCTAGTCCGAGGGTTTAGTCGATATAGTATATCGACGTCTACTTCCGGTATAGATCTTCTTATATTAAGTTAATTATATCTCGCGTATCTAGTAGTCGATCGAGATATAGCATATCCTAGGTTAGACCGGTCTCTAGAATAAGCGGATTCTCGGCAATGTATAAAGTAGTTATATTAATCTGCTTTATAGCGTTACCGGTTATCTATTCGTTCTTCTTCTACTAGCGATTGAAGTTATTATAGTATATATAGGTGCGGAGATTCCTCGCTATCTTTCTAGAGTCCTTAATCTAAACCTACGTAGTCTTACGTATTAGAATCTGCAAAGTACGACCGGAAGGATAGAGGCCTATATTGTTTAGTACACTTAGTACCCGATGCTTAATACTACTAGTTACTAAGAAGATACTAAAGGACTTAGAGAAGGCAGAAGCCTTATATAATGCTATCGAGCGTACTACTATCTATATAATTAAATTAATACGCTTTTGTATACGACTAGATTTGTCTTTAACAACCTAACCTTTCTCTAGCTTAATACGCTAGTTTAGCAACAGCTCGCGTAGTATACGGTCCTAACTTAGACAGTTGTTCTTAATAATAGCCGACATTTTATCTAAGTCGATAGGCTAAAGGCTCTTCTCGGGTTTATATTCCTTAAAGAACTTAACCTACTTAGTAACTAGCCGCTTTAACTCGGACCGCAACCGGCGAGCACTATAGAAGCGCTCCTTAGCTAAAGGACTATCTAGCATCTTGTCTATTCGCCGACGATACGTACGAGTACTAGTCTTGCCGAGCTAGTACGCGATAAATGCGGAAGGAGGTATACGGGCGTTCTTATAGGCGTTTATAATATTAGTATACTTCTATTCTAGTGTGCGGCGTTAAGCGCGACTAGTAGGCTAATTATTATTACTATCGAGCTATTATTGTCTACGTCTAGTACTATATCTAATACTAGTCTAACGCCTAGTACGACTACCTCTACGACCGCCGCCTCTACTACCTCGAGTACTACTAGAACTACGAGTAGCCGCGCTACGAGTTCGATGCTCGAAGTCTCTAGTAAGTGTATCTTCGACGCTACTATCGAATTCGTTAGATAGATCGTAGTCGCTAGTATCGTCGGCATTTATCTCTTCCTCGATTTTATTATTACTAAGTTCCTATAGATAGTCGTCGATGTCTTCTTCTGCCTCGTCTTCTGTATATAAGTCGAGTCCTTCCTCTTCCTCTTCCTCTTCCCCTTCCTCTTCTTTATCTTCTTCCTCGAATTGCTTCTCCTTATTATCGTCTTCCTCGGTATCTATATATAGCGCGTTTCTAGCCTATAAAGCAGCTACCTCGATATCGAGCTTACTAGTTAAAGGCGCCTAACTAATATCGCTACTAGAATAAGCTATATATATAGCGTAGTTAGCCTATAGTATACTATTAATCTCGGTAAAGACATTAAGGTATACGCGGTTGCGGGTAGAGTTAACTAGCAATATTAGATTATTAAAGCTAAGCTTAGATAGCACCGCTATTTTAAATAGTTTTACTATCGAAGGTGTTTAGCGCTATCGAGGGCGTTTAGCGATCTAGTATCGGAAGTATTTAAGAGTTAGAGATATTAAGAAGTAGGAGCTTTCTTCTACCTTCTACTATATTAAATGTAACGTATACTAGTCGCGTTACGTCGTATATAATTCACGCACGGACCGGCAATACGTAGAAGTGCCTAACCGCTTCTTATATATATCGTTTATTCGAGAACTTTAACCTTAACTTTAAATTTAACCTTAACCTTAACCTTAACCCTAACCGTAACCTCGACCTTAGTCTTATCTAAACGTCGACTGCTTAAGCCGCTCGTATATTAATCTAATAAGTATAGCCCGTAAGGAACTCGACCTTACGGCAATATAAGACCGTATCTTGTATATTAACCTATTCGATAAGAAGTGCGACTTTATCGTATATAACTTATTCGAACGTATATCGGATAAGCGGAAAGAGCTAGTTAAGACACCTCTTACGTACGCAGAGCTATATAAGCTAGTCGTCGATGCTAAAGTATATTCGAATAATATTAAGTATACTATCGCTAGCGAGGGCCTTTAGCGTATATTAAAGGATACTATAGGCTATAACGTACTTCTATATATCGGACAGGTCGATATCCTCTACGAGCTAGTATTTAAGAATGCCGCTATTCTAACTAACGTTACTAAATCTAAGAAGTCTATTCTTATATTAGTATATACGATAATAACTAGTATAAGTGCCGCTTTATATAGATCTTATATAAATGCTAACCGATTAGGCCTGCTAGCTATCGAAGTTATCGCCCTTAATCGAACCGAAGGAGCTAGTAGAAATAAGGATAAGAAGAAGGACGAGAATAAGGACGAGAATAAGAGTAAGAATAAGGGCGAGAACGAGTATATTATCGACTATAATTAAGCATAGCAAGTTTAATATCTTCTATATAGAGGCCGACCTCTAGAAGATTAGTTACAATGTAGTGCGATATAGTATAGTTAGCGCTAGTAAAGGCTTAGCGCGGATTTTAGCCTAAGGCGGCTACTAGGATAGGTACTTTCTCTAACTACTTATTTCTTAATAACCCTACGTCGCTAGAAGGTTAGATAGTCGACAAATAAAGCAAATACATTGTCTCTATAAGCTCGATGTATTTAATTAATATATTAGCAAAATAGTTTTTACGCTTAGTAAGCGGGCGGCTAGCTACATACCTAGCTATAGCTAAACTATCTAACCTAGCTTGCGGTATCGCTAGTTTCTGAATATCTATACGTCGTATAGATAAGATTTTTAGACATTTAAATTCGTAATTACTTGCTTTATAACCTCCTATTTTAATATTTGTATATTTCGTACTATATACTAACCTAGTATTTCTATAGTGTAGAAATAGCCGCTTTTATACCACTTATCCTCAGACCCTTGCTTCGCAAGGGGTTTATAAATAAACCACAACGTCATTCCGCTAGCTGCAAGGGTCTGAATGGAGATAGACCAGGTCAAGTGTATATGTTGACGTGACGAAAGAAACGGAGCCGACTCCGCGATCTTGGCAAAACTTCGTTCACTCACGCACGTTACGTCTCCGGAGTACTTAAGTCCATCGACATCGCCCGTCAAGACAAACGAGTCCATCAAAGGGCGGGACAACACAACGAGACATCGCTCTCTGGCTTACATGTATCATCATGGCGACAAATCCCTAGACTGACACGCTACCGCGACTTGCCGGAGTTCGTGTCGATTTCCCCTCTCTGGCTGGCTCCCAATGCTACATCATATGCCGCATCTTGCGTTGGTAGGCTCTCCGCGCCAGAATGTAACATACTTGTTACTTCCATTCGCGAGCTTAGGGAGAACAAGCTTCGCCTTACTCCGATGCAGGATGAGTCTGCCGTGCAGCCCAAAATCCATCAGCCGTGTCGTGCACTGGCCAGCCTCCTCAACGCTTGTTCGCCGGGCAAGGCTGCCGCAAAAGAGCCTACAAGACGCCGTTTGAACAGATTTATCTTTCGTCTCACACATGCGAGCGGTCTTCAGATGCTGTTCGGACCTTGGTGATGCTGCTCTCAGCACGAGGCACCAATGAGCAGGTAGTATGGCAGACAATTGACAACTTTCTTTGCAAGAACCATATCCCGAGGTTCCCAGCCTTGTATAACTTTTATGAAAAAGATCTGGCGTGGAGCCTGCTATCCACAAGCCAACACTTCTCGCCGCATGGCACTGCAGATCGCTATGCCTCGGATAGACTTCTGCGGAGCCATCATGCTCAGATATGAGAATACATCTCTATATAAATTGAGTGGTACTCACACTGAGGGTTTCAATCTTATAGCAGGTATTATTTGCTCCACTGTCCAATCTGGACCTCCCGCGAAAAAAAAAATTGAAACATCCATCGTCTTCTTCGGAGACATTTCAACCGACCCAGATGCCCGGCGGAGAATTGTTCCCACGACATAGCCATATAGAGCACGGCTAAAGGCTTCATAAAGCGTCTTAGGACGTAGACAAGGTTTCCCCACTTCTTTCTCTACCTGGACTTGCTAGTGCGGAGCTATCCGCTCCCTTCCCAAACAGGCAGGACGCCTATATACTCTGGCGCAGCTTGGCTTCCATTGAACGTCGACTTTCTTGTCCGGTCTACATTCGACAAAACATTGGACAGCATGCTGCTCAAGACGTCGTTGAGTCTGCTTTGGCTACCTCTGCTTGCTTCAGCAACAATCTGGCAGAATGGTCAGATCAGGCCAAATGACTATCCCGATACCACCATTTCGCTAGACTCATATGGCAATGAGATTGAGTGGCATCGATATGGCCCGGACTCACCAGAGCTCTCCTACAAAGGGCGCTGGGACGACCGGTACATCTCCTGGTGGTCGGCTCCCGGCCTAAAATTCGGCTTCAAAGCAGACAACGTAGCCATCACCTTCGGCAATTACACTTCCCACGGAGTCCTCATCGCATATCGACTTGACGGTCAAGACTGGATGCTGACGAACGTCACCGCAAACTCCACACATCTCCTCATAACCCCTTCCACCACCGGCTGGAATCTCACAACATCGAAAGAAGGTCTCCGAACATTCGAGCTGCGCGTCACAAATTGGGCATACGGCGTTCAAATTGATTGCATCCACCTATCCGGCCCGCAAAACACTCTAGTCAAACTCCCCGACTACACCCGTCGCATCGAAGTGATCGGCGACTCCCTCTCCGCAGGCTCCGGCACCACACTCGAAGGAATCAGCAGCTGGTCCTGGGGCGTAGCCTACGGCCTCGGCGACACAGAATTCAGCCTGACCGCCTACCCAGGGATCTGCGTCACCGACACCAACTGCTGGGGAAACCCACGCGGCCAAGTGCATCAGTGGAGAAAAACCTGCGACACCAGTGGCCGGGCGGTAGAAATGTATGGACCGAACCTCACCCACGCTCCGGATTGGGATTTCTCCAAACACCCCCACCCGGATCTCACGATCATAAATATCGGGACGAATGATAATAACACGCATAATAATGTCACGAGCGAACAGTACACATCGTCGTATATAAAACTACTCACCGACATCCACGCCACTTACCCCCATACAAAAATCATCATCTTGTCCCTCTGGTCCGGATGGGGACCGGTTGGCAGCACATGGATTCAGGGATCCGGGTTCTACAACGAAATCCAAGAGGTTGTCAAACACTTCAATAATGGGAGTCTCAATAAGATGGGAGAGGTTGAGGGGGCTTTTCTGTTTTATTATAATACTACGGGTATTATGCAGCATAATGATAACTCGCCGATTTATCATCCGACTGATGTGGGAGCGATCAAGGTGGCGAGTCATTTGATGGAGTATATTAGACTTGTGTTTGGGTGGGAGTTCAGGGCGACGGGGCCGGAGGTGCAGAGTGGAACTTTGTATTGGTGAGTATTTGATTTGATTTGATGTTGTTCGGTGCGGTTGCTGACGTGCGCGATAGGAATGATATGACTCAGTACTGAAAATGCATTCGCTGTAGCTGTGGTGGTTTCTTCCGCCTCGGCTCTTGCATGTTAAGTCTGGCCTGGCGAGCATGTCTGTGCCAGTCCAACGCGGCCCTTGATTTGACTGTCTCGTCGACGCAATCCACTTCGTGATTGCTTACTCCTCACTCTCGCTGCGCTTCCGCTTCTTACTTCCGCACTGCTGACCATCTTCGAGCTGATGGTAGTCACAGCAAGTCGCAGTATCAGCGCCCTTCAGATGACTCTCGCCTCTTCTCCACCTCTCGAAAGCCGTCCTCATGACCTCATTTGCAAGCTCCTGAGGCAGATCCAGATCCTGAGCCTGCGGATCTGCGCACCACACGCATAGATCGACCATCATTCTGCACAATGGTGAATCCGTGTCGGTGGCGTCGTGAGCAAGCTGTAGCGGCAAGTTTTCGGGCCAAGCGTCCGACGATCCAGTGGCCCGACGAACTTTGAAGACTCTGAGAAGTGCTCGCATTGCAGCGTGCATGGCAACCCCATCGCCAAGCTTCTCCGCTAGTACATAGAAGTCGACAAGTGCTTCATTTTGCTCCTCCCACCCATAGACACCGGCCTCTTTGCACTGGATCTCGCCGGTGTAGAGATAGTGCACGTATACCTCAAATACTTCGGATTGGTCGACAAGGGTCAGATCGTAGGTTAGGGACTTTTTTCTGAAATAGTTCTTGATCTTGGGTGCACGTCGCTCTAGCAGCGATTTGTGCACAAAACACGTTCCTCCGGTGGCAACGTGGACAGCGACAGTGGCACCATCTATGCTTCGAGATGTCAGCGAACAGTACTCTGATAGCTTGGCAGAGAAAGCTGTCTCACAAGTTTCCGCTTCTGATGACAAGTGGATCCTGCTGTTCAGGCATTGTGTTGTTCTCTGTGGTGGAATTGGAGGCGATGCAGTGTGGGTGGTGGAATGTGGTATGGATTGAAAAGGCCAAGACTGTCATCCGTCCTTCCCGACGCTCCGTGTGAGCCTTCCTCACTGTTGACACCAGCCAGGCTCCAGCGCTGTCTCCTTCCCGACGCTTCGTGTGTGCCTTCCTTGCGGAGGCAGCTGCCAAGCCAGCCCTTCCTGCCTTCCGCAGATAAGCATGTGACAAAATTTACTGTGTGGAAACGTGAGGCACAAGCTGCGTAAGTGAAGTGAAGTCCAGTTCTGACAGTAAGCGACAAGCAATGTGATCTGACGATCTCTCAAATGTCCCCTATCTCCCGCCTTTTGTCGAACCATTGAAGCGGCAGCCTGATCCGCCATACGGCAATGTTGAGTCGTGGATCTGGGTAGTGCCAAAGCGTTCAAGAATGACGGGAACTTGTACTGGGGATGTATCCCAACGCTTTCGTAGCGCCATTGTCAACCATAGGAGATTCATAGCCTTGTTGCAATTGCTGCTGAGCCGAAAGACGGTTGTTCCTCTTCGCAGACTTCACATCGCTCTGACGCAAACCTACTCTTCGGCCTCGCTTCGCTTGCGCTTCTTGCTGCCGCACTGCTGGTTATCCTTCAGCGCACGATAGTCGCAGCAGGTCTTGTCGATGACGCTCTTGGTGTCGCCTTTCTGCAGCTTCTCGCAAGCCCTCTTCAACACCTCAATGGTGAACTCTGCCGGTATGCCCTCGTATAAGCCCGCGTCGAATTCCTTCTCCCACACACACAGGTCGATGAGCAAGTGGCATAACGGCTCATCGAAGCTAAGTGAGCGATTGACCTTATTCAAAGTAGATTGGCTTGGTGCGATATCCCTGCCCAGACTGCGCGACCTCTTCGCCTCTTCGAGGAAGGCCTTCAGCACAGCGTGCTTGGTAATGTCATCTCCAAGATCATGCGCCAAATTGTACAAGTCCACGAGGATTTCTTCTTGTATCTCGGTGTCCCAGTTCTTAGACGGAATTCTACATTGGATCTCGCCAGTGTAGAGATGATGTACGTATAGCTCGAATGTAGGGACTCCGGTGCGCGGATAGAGATACTCGCCGAAAGCTGGGGTCTTGAACTTATTGAGGTTCAGAGCGCGACGCTGTATGAGCCGCTTGTGTACGAAACACCGCTCTTTCTCGTCGCCGACTAGCACGGCGACAAAAGTGCCTCTGATGCTGCAACGTGTCAGATGCGCCATTTGAAGATACCAAGCGAAACCTCTTAGCTTACAAGTCCTTGTTCTTGGCCACCAGTATATTATCCATTCCCGCCATGTCGTTCTGGATGCTTCTTGTTTTTGTGTCTATTGTCGATGATGGTTGATTGAAAGTCGAGCTAGGATCGAGAAGAGCATGGAAGAGATAGAGGGCCTGCGACGCGATGGCATGTGACGTCAACCTTGAAGTTTCTTCAGAAAGTGAAAGTGAGGTTGGTGCCACTGGAGTGAAGCAAACTCAAACTTCGCAGTCGTGTCAAATCCCTATGCTCTACCCTTTCAGCTGGTAGTCTGCGTCGACGAGCCAGTCAGTCGCCGCTGCGGTGGGTCCCTTCTTCGTATGGTTGAAATCCCTATGTGCGCAGCAAGTGACACCCCCTGGCGCCAGCAATAGTACTTCCGCTCGAATTACTTGCTCTGAATCGCCATGATCAGGGGAGTCCGTCATCATCATCGTCATGACAATCGGTCTAGCGTGCGTTTCAATTCTGCTTGAAAAGGCCGCACAAAGGTCGAAACCAAGGATCTTGATCTCGGGACTCTCGCAATACACCGCCTCCACGCATCCGATGCGAAAGCGTTTGATCAGAATCGAATTCGTTGTGTTTGCTCGGGGTTCCAGAGAGGACGATCTGGATATTTTGTACACCCATCGTTCTTGCATCCTGATGATCTTACACGTAAAGCAACCTGATGATTTCCAGCTGATATTATGCTCTTTTTACATGCTTGGACCTCGGACCGACAGTGCTTGATATCCTTGGATCCTCGTTCCAGCTCGTGTTTAGCGCGTACGACCCTATGTCGCTAGGACGCCGGCCTTGATAACTGCCGGTAGGCAGGGTAGCTTTTCACGGTGTAGACGACATGTCAGTCGATGTCGGAGAGCTGAGAAGCCGATAAAACAGAACCTCGTCGTGGCTTCGTGAGCAGCTGTTCGAAGCGCTCTGCCCACTGTCGTCTCAGCAATAATTTGTCTTTCGAGATCGGCTTGATGCCTCCATCACCAACAATGACTTGGACATTTTCAAATTCGCCAATCCAAGTTTCGAGTTCCGCCGGCTCACGGAATTCTTCTGATTCCAGGTTGAAATCAATGATGCGAATGTAGCAATCGAGATGTTGAAGACCAGAAGGTATCCTGCCAGGAAGCGTCGGTTTCGACATGGCCCCGAAGAACGCTTGAATGTGCTGGATGGCATTTCGCTGATAAGATTGCAGAACCTCTTCAAGGAAAACATTAAGATCAAGCGGAACCATGAATGCGAACGTGTTACCACTGTAAGGCAGGAGTGCCGCCTCTTTGTAGAACTGCCGACAGACGAAGAGAAGACTAAGATGTAGTTTGGTGTCGGCATGCATCCTGTGCACACCTTCAGGCGGCTCTCCATATTGCTCGATCAAAGACCTTCTATGAGCGAAGAAGTGGAAGCATGGCCGGAGAGCACATTCGCAGTTGAAGACCGGTCGGCCCATATAGTTTTGCCATCTCAAGTCGTTCATGATACTGTGACATGCCAGATGTTCGGCTGTATAGCTGTGGTCCAGGACGGCCGGTGGAGAGCAACTCTCAGCATACGCATGATCCCAGTGAACACCCACCGACTTGCAGACTGCGTACATGGGCTTGTATCGATCAACGAAGTCATATGCAATCGATGAGTAGGTGATGCCTCCATCTTCATTCGGCTGGCAAGGACGGAGGCCACCATGGATCACCTTGTTGGCCAGTACATGTTCGAATATTTGGATCCTGAGTTCGGGAGGTAGCCTCAGTAAAGGCGAGAATGAGGCGTTGCCCTCGGTCACACTGCTGTAGACTCTTGGCTTGGAATCATTCGCGCCCTCCATGTTGTCCTTTTCGCGCAGCAAATTGCATCGTACAAGAATTCAGGTACAAGACGGTCGATGACGATGGAGGCAGTTTGGTGATTCGGCAGGGATCGCACAGAGAGTTCGCGGCTGGCATTAGCGCCCGTGCCAAGATTTCTGGAGAACCTTGCTAGCGCGATATCAGGGACAACTTTGGAAGTCCGAGATCTGGTTCCGGAGACAGTGACATGAGATTGGCCGACAGTTGCTTGACAACACTCAAGAGGGGGACTCGCGCGATGGGAGGATTGAGATAGAACTTCGTCTCGACGCGGTTCGGCTAATCCGGATACCGACCCAACACTTGGAACAATGTCGTCGGCAACGCCCTCCTCAGTCACCACCGATGCTCCTCCGCCGAAGCTGCTGAAGAAGGGCGACGCCAAACCCACGTCGGCTACGCAAACCACATTTGGCTGCCAGCATATCAAGAACCTGCTGGCGAGTGCGCGGCAACAGGCGACAGATGGCTACAAGAGACTCATTGGTATGCTCCAGAAGGAGGACAATATTAGCTATAGGATATACAAGGGCAACGGCGGGCCAGGAGTCACTACTCAACCGACATATCTGTGCATGCAGTGTCCGAATGTGAGTATATCAAGAGAGAGACATCACACAAAGCATGGATTCTGTGAGTACATCAGTTGCCGAAGCACGTGATGGAGTATGCTGAGTAGTTATTTAGCCGTCGAATCCGAGAATGGCTTCCTATACTGCCATGAATGCCGAGATTTCGTCTACGATCCGACTTTCGAGGAGATCCGAACAGCTCCGACGAGCAAGAAGCGGAAGGCCACGACGGACTCATCGATACCTGACAGCGATAAGAAGGTTGTAGCGGCAAATACCGTGGCCACACCATGCGCTGCGACAGGCCTTCGAGGTCTCTACAATATGGGCCAGACGTGCTTCATGTCGGTCATCCTGCAGTCGCTGATCCACAACCCACTCATCCGCACCTTCTATCTGGCAGAAGGTCATCGATCATCCGAATGCGAACGAGAAGCATGCACGTCATGCGCATTGGACGACATTTTCACCGACTTCTACGCCACCGAGAAGCATGAAGGATATGGTGCTGTACACATGCTTCAGGCATGCTGGAAGAGTGGTGGTGCTCTGGCAGGGTACAGTCAGCAAGACGCGCACGAGTTCTTAGGGTTCATACTGAACAGTTTACACGAGGCGAATACAGAAGATGAAGAGAAGAAAGAAACACGAGACTGCGAATGCGTAATACATCAGACATTTGCCGGCATGTACAGGAGTACAGTAAAATGCACAACATGTCAGAACACGACCAACACGTCAGAAGCTTTCATGGACCTGAGTTTGGACGTGAAGAGCGCTGGGTTCAGCATTAAGAAGAAGAAGCTGGCGATGATCAATGGCACACAAACAGTGAAAGAGGCTTTGCCAGTAGATCTTGTCGAATGTCTCGTCAAGTTCACGACCGAGGAGACCCTGTCAAGCGAGAGCTACCACTGCCCGAAGTGCGATGCTGCACGAGAAGCAAAGAAGAAGCTCATCCTGACGCGACTACCGCCGGTGGTCCCAATTCACCTCAAGCGCTTCTCGCATTCGAAGACAAATGGTCAAAGCACGAAGGTCGACACCAGAGTCCGCTTTCCCTTCAGCATAGATCTCGGGCCATACACAGATTCCAACACTGCAGACGTGGCCGATGGTCACGACGCAGATGACGACGAAGATAACATCAACGTCAAAATGCCTTCCAAGAAAGGCGATCCCGAGACAGCTGGTGAAGCACAGCAGCCAGTCTACGAGCTCTCGTCAGTCATTGTGCACAAGGGCAAGATCGACAATGGCCATTACATTTCGTATTCAAAACAGGGGACTGAGTGGTTTCGATTTGATGACAGCATGGTGGTGCAAGTGGACGAGAAGGAAGTGCTTGGGGCGGAGGCGTACATGCTATTCTATGTGGTTTCGGATCTGTGGTAGACTCGGGCATTACTTGTGGGCATGGCGTTTCTGGATATTATGGTGTGGCATACAGACCAAGCGGGCACGGGATTGTGGAAACTCGACCTGCGGGTCTGAGCATGCATGATATTGGCGTTGAATGTACTCACATAGGCTTGTTTGTACAAGGATTCTTGATACGCGGACTCCGCCCTATCCACCTTGACTCGCCTTCGCCTTCGCACTCACGAGATCCTTACTCAAGGCAATGGCGCCAAGATGGCCAATGTGGTCTGAGATGGGACTGTAGCGCAAGGAATAAAGATGCTCCGAATCCCGCTAGATCCTTGCCGATCACGTGATGTCATTTCGCTCCCTAGTTACGTTCAACTTCCGTCTTTGGCATCCGTCCAAGGACGTCGCAAGCAGGGACAAGCCGATTGCAGTCTTCCATGCCATACAGAGCGTCTGTCTGACTTCAAGGGCAGTTCCAAGGAGCCGGAAGCGCCACCAACACTCCCTCCAAGAGCCTCCCTGCTCGGCCTGCCACCAGAAATCCGCAACCGCATTTACGAATACATATGGCCTGGAGACCTCATACATGTGGTGTATTGAGATCATTTCCAGATCAGATATACTTTTGAGATGAACGTGTAAACATACCAGGTCACGCACCAGGTCTGCTGCGACTTCAATCCATGGTGTGTTCTTTGAAGCGCTTCGAGGGCCTGTTCGAAATGCGATCTATCCACATCCTACCAGTGATGAATCTGCAATGGCGGTTCGATTATGACTCGAGATCTATTGCTCAGCCACTTCCGCAAGAAGCAATTGGGACAAGAGATTGACAGGATGCTGCCATAGCCACTGCGGCGTGCATGCAAGGCTTCCCACCAGTCTAGAGAGTGGCAGTGTTGCAGTGGCTAGTGAGGATGAACTTGTCGTGTTGTAGTAGTGAGGGCTCGCTATGGCACCAACCTCTTTTCTCATGCTAGTGAAGGATCCTGCATGATCTCGTGGTTCAAGTTGGTGCCACGACACTGGAAGCATCGACTAAATTTTAGCTCGGATGCTCCGATTTCCTTGCTCTGTGTTTCGCTAGAAACGTGGCACAGATCCGGTACAAGACTCGCTTCATTGCGTATGCATGAGCCGCGAGATAGATTGAATGCCGGACTCCTGATCATCGGTCATGTCGGCGGAAGCATCGACTAGTTGCTGCTCTCAGATAGCGCTCCCGGGCGGTGAAGCTGTCACGGCCCGAAAGAGGCCGCCACGGCCCACGACTCATTCACAGTGCTCACAGCATCAGTTGCATATGGCACGTTGTTGTCCAAGCAGGGACAGTAGTCCCCGCGAGTTCCCTCACTCAGTTGGACTTCCTTTGAGCGGGCGCCAGCTTCCGGTCCGAGCGCTGCCAAGCTCCGCCCAGCCAAGCTTTCTCCTTTTCCTCTCTCCTTCTTGGAGACATGATCATCGCCCTCCATCGAGCAACACCCGAAACTCCCTCTCTCCCCATAACGTTACCTGTACAAGATCATGCGAAGATTTGTGGCGCATGTCATATCCAGAGCTTATTGTTTGTGCTTTTCACCATCATGTGACCGACTGAGTAAGCGCTCTGAACCTGCCTCTCCGCCAGGGCCCTCAGCCGCACTTGGTTCACCCGCAGCAATGGCTGTACTGTAATGACTGCACTTAGGGCTTCCGTGGTCCGGAAATAACAATGGCCAGATCATGCTCATGACGAGGCGCTATGCAAGCCACATGCGTGCTACAGAAGAAAATTGTTCAGCTTCCCGAAAAGAATGGCTGCAAATGGTCCATGCAACAGCACAGCACAGCACAGCGGCCATCCGATCAGCAATCAATGCTTTGGCGTCATCTGAGCCAACGCACAGAGCTCGGCTTCGGTATGCTGGCTAGGGGATAGCACGCTGTGGACCGCTTCCCGTGCTACAGACCTGTCTCCGGGCCGCCGTATGATCGCTAACTGCTTGGAGTAATACGTGCTTGCTCATCAGCACCGATCTTCGTTGGTGCTATTTCAGAAGAGCAGCATATTCTTGACTATTGCCCTCGGGATCCCTTCACAGTCTCTATAACTACTTACAACCTCAACAGGTTATAACCACGGGAGGCGTGCATACGTTTGAGATGAGTCGACTTTAATGATCCTGATTACTCTCCACCGTCCAGAGGCCCGCTTCGCTGCACCACATTCGCAACACTAAAATCCACAGACGGAACCCTTCATTCGCACCTGCGCCTGACCGGACCTTAGGGCCCCTAACCGATTCGTGAGCTCACGGAGCACCAATCACGCAGAAGTCTCGGTAAAGAGCCAACAACTATTCGAGCATTTCTTTTCCGGCCTCGCTGAAAGCACACAACAAGAATGACCGCAGCACAAGTCATCAACCCCATAATGCTCCATCACTGGCAATGCGATCCTTTTGAATCACTGGTATGTTGTGCTCACTTCTCCTGCATTCTCATTGAATGGTCAAGAGGACTTTTGCTCCTGTGTTGATCTCTCTCCCGCACCCCACGATCCAGAATCTCTCCCTGCTCCTCCAATTCCCAACTTCGGCCCTATAACATTGCACTACTACACGTCAAATCCATTGTGGCCATTGCAGCGTCCTTTGATACCTGAAGAGGAAGTCGTTCCGAGTTCTGTACTAACGACTCGAAAGCATACGCCGCCACGTGCTCGACGCTGTCAAAAGAGAAAGCGAACAGATAGCACAAGTTCCAGTTCTCCCAATATGTCCGGATATTACTATCCACCTTCAACTACATCTGAAGAGCAAAATTTTGACTTCAACACGCTCATGCCGATGCCTCTGACAACGCAATCTCAACATCCATTCCCAGCTTTTGCGCCACAGCAGTTCAGTCCACCTCTGGAACAGCAGGAATTCTACCACGACCCAGCGCAATACTACCAGCATTCGTCGCAGTACCAGCAATACCAGTTCCAAGTGCCGCTACAGCAACAGCAACAGCAACAGCCATGGACTCCTCCACCAGTACCTTCGAGCTTCCAATATGCGCATTCGAGCGCGGCGCCTTTCCCGCAGTACTCAGATTCTGTAGACTACTCGCAAGAATTCATCCATACTGGACCGTCTAGGAGATCAACAGGCTACCTCTCTCCAGATGAAGCTGGTAAAGCTAGCTCTAGGATGTCGCGTTCGACCTCCGTCGCAGAGTCCAACGCGAGTTCGCTGCACAGCGTGTCGGACGTCTCTCGGAGTGTGTCGCCGAATGCCAGCGAAATGGCCAAGTACGGACGCAAGAACGATGACAACACCTGGTCATGCATTTTTCCAGGGTGCTCTTCCAAATCAACGTTCAACCGTGGTTGCGATCTTAGAAAGCATTACAAGCGGCACACGAAAAGCCTCTGGTGCCGACACGAAGGATGTCCGCAAGCAACAGAGGGTGGTTTCTCGAGCAAGAAAGACCGCGCACGACATGAAGCCAAGCACAACCCTAGCATTGTTTGCGAGTGGGAAGGATGTGAACGACTGTTCAGTCGTCAAGACAACATGGTAAGTGAGAATGACTTGCATGGCGGCGACGCGTTCACTGACGTCCGCACAGAAAGATCATGTCAGACGGGTTCACAAACGCAAGGTCCTCTAATCTGACTTGGGAAAACAGGATTGGCATCACTCCACCTGTTGTACAACCGAAGCTAGTCGAGCGAGCTGGAAAGCTCAGCTGATGTGAGCATCGTGTTCGCACGCCAACTCGAAAATGATCGATGAAACACCAATTCTCGCGACGCGTGCACTCTCAGCATCGAATGCAACCGAGGATAGAACGAACTTCTACGCGGCCCCAATCACCGTTGAGAGAGAGAGAAATTGCTCAAGGCGTCGGCCGCCGGCGAGCAGGATTCGCATTTAGTGGAGTTGCCGAGAAGGATGAATGTTTGCTGTTCCGATGCCGGCTAACATGGACCAACGGACGGATTCGAAAACTCGTCTCTCGACAGTCTGCAAAAGTGTGGTCACAAAGACCATTGAGAGCTTGGTGTTTGACCATTCCAGACCAGTGACGTTCTGGCCCCGAAGTCTCGGATTGCCTAATTGGAACAATCGCTTGTCTTTCAGCTCTCGAATCACAGAACAACAGGGATGTTGGTCACGTCGCAGAAAAATAAGCTGGAGAGCGTAATGGCAAAAGAACAATATGAATGACCCGAGAGCGAGAATGTGGAACCACAGCCCAAGACATTCCGACCCATTTGCAGCTCGAGACAACACCGCTTCTGCCTGCGGCCCACGCCAAATGCAGCATGAGATGCACACTCGATCTCGAAGAGCTTGCTGAAACGATCGAGCACAAGATCGCAGAGGTGCAACCAGTAGTCCTCGTAACAGATTTTAGACCGGTGAACAGCTGAGCCAATCGCCGTCCTGTTTGCGCAAGCCACTCTATGATCCCACTTCAGCTGCGACGCCACGCCGAGAATTGAGCATACAGGTCCTGTCAGATCGAAGCATGACGTCTAGAACGCGATCATACTATCAATGGCCGCCGGCAGCTGTCCGCCAGGCCGCCAACATGAAACGCAGACACAGCTTTGAACGAGTCGATGTACAACACTACGGCGCGAAAAGAGCACTTTGCCTACCTTGTCGGCAGGTGGCTTGAGCAATAGCAATACAAGTGATGGACCAAATCAATGCATGTGGCAACAGGGTCTACTTAGGGCTGTCGCACGAGCAGCTCCAGCCTTGGCCAATATCGAGCTTTATTCCCGACTATTCGTCAATGCATCACTCAATACACAACTGAAAACAGTTGCAGACTCACGCAAAATCGTCAAAAATTCGGAATCCTCTCCAACGAGCAGCAACAAGCTGCTTGAAAACGAGCACGTAAATGCTCTTCAACCAAATTATTCGTCGACAGTGAGAACTCATTGGTATCATCAACCTGGTGCTCACTACTTCACGACTCAAGCTTTTTGCCTCTTCCTTCGTCCCTCAAATTGATGCAGCGTCCACATGTCTTTGCAGATAAGTATATCCTTCCTCTGCCGTGGAATGCAGCTCATACTTTCTCCGCGAGGAACATCGTCCCGGGACACATTTTTCGTCCTAAATGCGCAGCCTCCTCAGCTTGCACGACCATGTGAGGCCTCAGGCCTGGTGATTGCTGGATATGGCAAGTCGGCTGCACAGAGACGATCATTTCCTCCCATCCGGGCTCTGAAGGTCTTTGGATATGTTCACTTTCATCCTTCGTTGCAATGGTAGCGAGATCGTCAAGACGGATGCCCTACTTCGCCTATACTATTGATCCGAAGCTGCAGTCTCGAAAGCGGCCAGAGGTGATGTGCTGGCTTGCCCGCGATCTTTAGGGCTGCGCGGAATGTGGGGCGCGACGGATGAGAGAGGAGAGAGGCTATGGCGTTGTGGCAGCGCCGGTTGAAGTCTATGCCATTGCTTCGACTCGGTGGCCGGACTGTCGGGCCAGCAATTCATTCTCTCATTCTCTAAGATCATCGATGTCGTCGACGGCCGTTTAGTAATTATTAACATCACTAACAATACATGCAAGCTGATCACATTGCCCGCCACTGTCTGTGACTAAGACTGCTCCTATGAAAGATTTCTCTTCCCCCAAACTCCAGCATAGTTCTACACCTCTCTTGATTCTTATAGTCCGCGGGACTGGAAAACAAGATTTCCTCGTTGCATCTAGGCGCACCATCTCAACATCTCAAAGAGTCCGAAGAGATGATATGTTTGATCAGAGCATCGGCATTCGTGCAATCCAGCGAAAGGGTCGTGTCCAAGAACGCGAGTGGAAAAGTGCTAGTGGAGAAGCACAGAAAGGAGCCATGTCTGCATCTCAACCTACAAGCAATATTCTTCTCGATCACCCTGCGGCCGACTCGTGAAGCCAGAGAAAATCGAGACTTTTGGAAAGGCCAAATCCTCCTTGCAAGCTGTTTGCCTCCTGCGTCTTGGCCGCTGGTGCCAGACTGTGTTCCTGAGCTCACCCAAGGCACTGGGGTGTTCGGCAGCTTGTACCCAACGAACGAGATGTTTGAAGTGAGTGCTAAGAGGAGAAAGAGCGGGTCTGAATTGAAGTTACAACAGACTTCATTTGACTCACCAATCGCTGTTTCTGGGCAAAATCGTTGTTGCCTCGCCAATCGTCAAACTATTTCATCTTCGCGGACATCAGCGAATTGAACACAGCCGTGTGTATCCGGCCAAGAGAGATTCATCCATCAGCGGCATCACCAGGTGGGGATGAGATGCGGAGTTGCAGCAAGTCACAAGACTGCGTATTGGCTGCCCACTAACATTCCTTCGCAACGTCATGCGATATAATCAGAACTTTCATCCTATCCAACTCCCACCAGGCCTCAAGTTGGATTCTTTTCTCCTCCATCCTTCCCTCAAGAGCTCAAAAATGGGTTGCATATCTTCACGAGAGGCGCGTGAGCAAGGCATAGAGACTGGGCCCGGTCACGGACCTGTTGTTGCAGGACGACACATGTTCACGCCGCCGTCTCGAAGGGGACCTAGAGGCGTGGCAGGGTGAGATACTTGCCTTACTGAGCGGCTCATGAACCATCGCTTAAACTTGGTAGAGGTCAACCTGGTGGCATGAGCATTGGTGCACAATCCGGAGCTGGAATTGGACCGGGGGCTGGGATAGGAGGCGGTGGTGCGGGTCCTCCATAAGTATAAACGGAGTTCAAGGCCTGCAACGTATGGATCTGACAAGATGGGCACGAGGCATGAGTCTGCAAACTTGCTGCGAGGGACTGCGCTACCTGGCAACAGCCTTTTCTTAAGGTTGAACTTACTACACCGAACTCATGCTTGCTGACATTGGCAATTTTTGCGTAGTAGCTTGACTTTCCATCTTCGCCTCAATCCTTACATGTGAAAGCCCCAACGCCCGCAATAGATCGACCCAATTAGCAACCATCAAATACCCCTCCACACCTTCCTCACTCTGTCATTCATAAACCGGCTCTATGGTGCAGCGGCTAGCACATCTGACACTTACACGCTGGGCGGAGTTTATTCGTCAGAATATCAGCTTTGGCTTGGTTTGGTCACGTGTGTCACAGGCCACGTCCTTGACAGTTCTTCGGAGCTGTCGAGCATCTTAACCATTACGCTCGTGAGTTCAGAAGATGTATGTTCGATTCATACTGGGGCCATGCATGGTATCAGAAGATTTTGCTTCTTCGCGGAAAGAGCTTTTTGGGAAGCATGGAGCGAGTGTCTTTGAATTTAACGTCTGATCTATGAGTCTATCAGTCTGTGACAGCTTGACCCCAGTGAAAGTCGTAGTAAAATCTTCAGATCTTAGCTTTAAAACCTCGTTAACAAGAAATATCTACGATCTTATGCTCCGAATATGAGCAATCCATCCAGCCACAACCTCTTTTCGCCACACAAAGTCGAATCCACTCACTCATCATCTTGGAACAGTTCTGCATCCTTGCCGTCATTCGGCAAGAAAGTGCCATCGCAGACCTTGAAACGATCTGGGATGGCGTCAATCGCCTTGGTCTCCTCCGCCGTCAAATCCCATCCGTCAAGTTCAAAGTTAGCTTGAATACGCTTGGGCGTCACGGATTTTGGAATGACGGAGTAGCCTCTATTCAAACCCCATCTCAGCAAGACCTGCTGCACCGTCTTCCCCTTAGCCTCGGCAATCTTGATCAGAGCCTCGTTCTTGTACAGCGGGGAGTCAGTGGATCCGAGACACGAGTAAGCCGTGGTGTGGATGTTCTTCGAGGTATTGTAGGCAAGAAGTTTCCCAGAAGGATAGCAAGGATGAATCTCGACCTGGTTGACAGCCGGGACAATGGAAAAGTCCGGGGCATTGAAGAGCTGCTCGAGATGATTCTTGCCGAAATTCGAGACACCGATGCTTCGGACTTTGCCCGTAGCCGGGAGTTTCTGCATCTCAGTCCACGTCCTCAAAATATCCCAATCGGAGTGAAGTTTCTTTGGATCGTTCTCGCTGACGGGGCAAGGCCAGTGGACGAGGTACAGGTCGACATAGTCCGTGCCGAGCTTCTCGAGCGAGTCATCGAGAGCTGCTGCCGCGCGGTGGAGATGGCTCTCCTTCAGCTTCGTGGTCAAGAAGATCTCGTTTCGAGGAACGCCTGATGCCTTGATGCCAGCGCCGACCTCAGCTTCATTGCCGTAGGCGGCGGCAGTGTCGATGTGACGATAGCCCAGCCTCAACGCCGCCTCCACTGCGGCTGCGACCTCGTTGGGCCCCGACTGCCATGTGCCCAGGCCGATGGCAGGAATCTCGTGGCCGCTGTTGAGCTGATACTTCTTCCTGCGAAGGTTTGTTAGACGAAACTCTGCTGCCAGAAACGGCTCGGCGCCGACACTGACTCGGTGATCTTTGCTGCAGCCATTTTGTGCTTCAGACGTTCCTGGCGCTTTTGGCTCGTTGTTTCGTGCTTTGAGTCGCCCGCTGATGAGTGACAAAAGAAGAAGTGATGTTGTTGTAGGCTCTGATAAGAATGACACTTGGCCGGGATGTGGGGGTCGATATGAGAAAATGCCGGAATCGGAGAAAGGTGTATTAATAACTTCGGATCGAATTCGCCTGAAAGGGAAGGTCGCCTCGCGGATTTAGCCGACTACGATTACTACATAATGCTCGTCGTCTATACCGGACCTCTACCAGGCGTTTGCCAGGCCGGATGTAGCGTTCTATTGCGCTCTTCGTGGGCGACGCCATGGAAAGGCATCACGCATATGCCATGCCATGATAGACACCGGAAATCTCATACTGCTATAGCCATCGGGCGGCCTAGCTCTTCTCCTCTCTCTCTCGCCAAGCTGCCAAGTGCTTGTCTGTATTCGCCCACTCGTCGTGAACATAGCAGAAATCAAGCACCCCGAAGAGCTCATCCGCTGGGCTCCGTCAGCATGTGATATGATACGCAGAGAACTCCACAAGCGGACTTACGCGTCAATCGACCTTTACCCTCATCCCGACCGTTCATACGGGTCTTCTCCTGTATATAATGGACTCGTTCCCTCCTAATCTGGTCATACAGCTGTACAAGGGGCAAGATTTCGGCAGACTTGGTGCCTTGCTGGAGGAGCACAGCGATGGAAACGCCGTCTTCCATAGCTTGCGCCGCGCCTTGCCCAAGAACTGGATCCAATCGAGTCAACGAGATTCTGGTATGCCTCCAGATGCGGTTTACTTACATGGCAAGAATGGATGAGCTGCATCACCAATCAAAGCCAGTCGTCCACGGACAAAACTCTCGAGAGGCTCCGCATCCATCATTTGCCAGACCTTCAGATCATCGCCGGCATAACTCAACGCCTTCCGAGCGGGTGGCCAGAAACTCTCGAAAGACTTTTCCAGCTTTGCCTTCGAGCCCATCTGATCCCAATCTGATCACCTAAATATCAGCAGCTGCTCTCAAGGATGATTCAACACTCACCATTCCCAGTCCCTTCAATGTCATCCGGACAAAAGCAAGCGAAGTTGACGAACTGATTCTCACGGCAAGGATAGATAACGAACTTGCGATCCGGCGCCGTCACGTCTGCGAAGTACCCATTCTTTTCCACCAACATCCTAGTCTCCGGATCATCAAGGAGTTTCCGACGTTCGACAAGAAACCGATAACAACTCCTGTTACAAGACTTCAACCTCGCACCTGGATCGACAAATCCCCGACTACTCGACGCATTCCCATCGGCACCAATCACAACATCACTGCAAAACCTCCTCCCATCTCCCAACTCCACCATCCCACTCTCAACATCCACCCCCTTCACAAAAACCCCACAACACAAAACCGCCGCATTCCCCGGCACCTCCCCCGTATCATCAGTAACCAACCTCCTCAACTCCCGATGCAAATCAACCCTATGACTCAAAACCCAAGGCCTCACCCTCCCATCATCCCTTCCCCTCCACTTCTCATCCGCAAACCCAAGATCCATCTCCTTCAGCACATCCCCAGTCATCCCGTCGACGGAAAGAAAACCTTCGCATTGATTCGACCCCGAAGTTCGAGGGTGCCACCCTAAACGAAGTAAATGGTCGGAACAGTTGGGTGCGAGGTAGAGGGCTGCGCCCGTCTCTTTGTGCTTTTCGAAAGCGGATTTTTCGAGGAGGAGGATTTTGGCCGAGGGGTTGGTGTGGCGGAGGGCGAGGGCACAGGTTAGGCCGGCGATGCCGGCGCCGAGGATTGTGATTTGGAGGGTGGGATTCTTAGCGGTTTCTGTTGTGAGAGGCATAGGGTGAGTTTGGGTTGGGGGGCTAGGGGTTTTTAAGGGGATTCTTTAATAGGGAAAGCGAAGAGAGAGAGAGATGTTTTTTTTGTAGGAATAGTAGAGGAAGAATATTCGTGCGGTCGACTTGTGCAAGCTACGGAATCATAAGGTTTCAGGCGTGAGTGCTACGAGTGTTACTTGCGGTGTGACTGGAGGTACAGCTCGGCATTGGATACACACTACTCTAGCGTGAGATGCGAGACCGAGCCCTATATTATAGTCCGATCGTGCTAGCAGATTAAGAGCTGAATGAAGAGCCAGATGAAACGATTGCTATTGCGATTGATTCCCTTAGCCTTATAAAGTACAGGTACAACTACATGTACTACGAATACGAAGACTCGTCCATGTGGCAAGAAAATGGGCCAGCCCTACTACAGGAGAGAAAATCCTCCCGACGGGCTAGCACCTAATAATAAAATCAGGCTCAAGTGAAGTCATTATGCTATTTGTAGCCTTCGACCGTATAAGTTATCTTCTATAATACACGTCTAAGGTTAACAACTCGGTTTTACAATCTTTATAACAATCACATCCCTTAATGCTTTAATGCTTCAATCTTTGAGAGCGGACCAAAATTAAGAGATAGTGAGTAGCAGATCCTATCTGAATCCTTCAAAACTCTAGCATTTACCTAGCATAGCTATAGCTCGCTTAAGAAAATACGAAAAACACCACTTCCCTCCCCCATAGTGGATTGAAGTCCTCCTACTCAATCAACCATCGCTTCATAAAACTCCAACATATACAAATCCCTCCCAACACCACTCGATCAAACGCAGAAGTAATTTAAGCCGCCGCGGCAGCAGTAGCTTGTGACTGCTGCGGCACAATATAGTCACGATTCTCAACCGTCACACTCTTCGTCTGCAAACAAAAAAAAACGTCAATAAATGTGCATCGTTCGGAATCAGGATCGAGATTTGTACTCACCATATGATTGACCTTATAAACACCCACCAACCGACTCGCAAGTTCAAACATATTATTTCTCAAAGAAATGACGATGAACTGCGCATTCTTCGTTCTTTCCTTAATGTACGCGGCCACGATGCTGACATTCCGGAAATCCAGAGCGGCATCGATTTCGTCCATGACGTATAGTGGTGTAGGCTTGTAGTGGTGAAGGGCAAAGACGAGCGCAAGCGACGAGAGCGTTTTCTCCCCACCCGAAAGGTTTCCGATATTCTTCCAACTCTTTTTGGGGGGCATGACGGAGAAGAGGATGCCTTCGCTGAAAGGGTCAAGGGAATCGACAAGCTCCAGTTCCGCATTACCTCCCATGGTGATCATCTGGTACATCTCCTTCAGGCGCATGGAGATGAGGGAGAAGCCTTCCATGAAACCTTCTAAACGCATGCGGCGGAGGTCGTCGGTACGCTTCTTGGCGGCGTCACGGGCTGAAAGTGCAGCGTTGAGGTCTTCTAGACGGGAAGAGTACTCTTGCACGCGGCGACGGTACTCTGCGAGGACGCTGACATCTGCCTGTGCACCAGAGGTCTTCTCCTCCAGCGAAGCAATCGCTGCCTTCAGAGACTCTTTGTCGAGGTCTTCCAGCTCGTCGCGAGAGAGCTCAGGTACTGGCTCTGGGTCCTTCTCCTCGCCGTCCTCAGCAACATTCTGCAGAGTAAGCTTTGACAGCTTTTCTTGCCAGTACTTCATCTGCTTCTGGTTGGTGACAAGATGCTTCTGATTGTCTTCGAGCTTGTTGCGCATCTCGACTTCAGCACCACGGGTGTTGTTGAGCTCGGTGGTCATTTCGTCGAGCTGTCGCTTCATCCCATCGAGCTCATCTTTCTTCTCCTCAAGTGCAATCTTGGCATCATCGTACTGACGACGAAGCTCAGAGTTGCCAGAGTTCTGCGTTTGAGCACTGTCCTCAACCTTTTCGAGCTCCTTTGCGACCTTCTCCATCTCTGATTCAGCATCTTTCAGAGCCTTTTCGTGCTTCTGACGTGCCTTCTCTGCTTTGGTCTTGGAGACCTCCGCATTATTCAGACGTTCAGCCAGAGCTTCGATCTGCTCTCTGAGGCCATCGACCTTCGCCTTCTGGCCACGTAACTTCACGCCACCGATCTCCATGATCTTGTCCTGCAACTCCTTGATTTCAGCCTCGATACCTTCAGTTTCGGACTGCAGCTTCTCGACCTCCTTCTGCATGCTGGCGATGCTCTTTTCAAGAGTGGCGGTCTTATTCTTGTCTGACTTTGAAGTCTTTTGTTCGGCGCCGAGCTCTTCGATGCGCCTCTGTGAATCGTCAATGTTGCGCTCAATGCTGCCCAATTCCAGTCCCAGCTTCTGCGCTTGTGTTTCGAGCTTGGGAATCTTGCTTTGGAGTTCGCGCAATTGACCTTCAAGCTCTCGTTGCTGTTCCTGGATAGCGGCATACTCTTTCTCGACCGCATCACTGTCAAGCTGCAGCTTCTGTACTTGCTCCTTGGTGGTATCGGATGCCACCTTTGAGGACATCGCACCCTTCTTGACCGTGTTGCCACCACCACTCATGACACCGGACTTGTCGATCAGCTTGCCTTCCAGCGACACTACTCGCCATCGCTTGACACCATAGGCGACGCGATCTGCCTGCTGCGAGTCTGTTGCAACCAGGGTATTCTGAAGCACACTATAGAAGGCAGGTCGGAAACGTTCATGCTTGCTCTTGATGAGGTCAAACAGACGCGGACAGTTCTCTGGCGTATCGATCGGAGACAGATCTCGCTGTGGGAGTCGATCCAGACAGATGAAGTTGGCCCTTCCGAGGTTGTTCTTACGGAGATGCTCAATGCACTGCTGAGCAGCTTCGACGGAGTCAACGACCATGTTCTCGAGCGACGGGCAGGCAGTAGAGATGGCAATGTCGTACTTTGCGTCAATGGCTCCGAGATTGCCAAGACGTCCATGAAAGCCATCGATACGACCAGATTCCTTCAGTCGAGTCAGACCTGCCAAGACGTTACCTTGTGCTTTGCTGGCGGACAAGCTGGATCGCGCTTCCTCAGCCTTCTGTCTTGCGTTGGTCATCTTTTCTTTGGCAGCCGGCTCCTTCGCCTTCACTCCATCGAGTTGCTTCTGGACAACGACGACCTCTTTCTCTGCAGATTTCTGCTCCTTCCTGCAGGCTTCAATCTCAGAGGCTTTGGCATCACGCTGTTCCTGAAGAGCAGCGATCTTCGATTCAACTTCTTCGATGGCCTTGGCACCAGCATTCTCCCGCTCTTGAAGCATGTCAAGTTCACTCTGGGCGACAGCAATGGAAGACTGCTTGTTGTTGATCTTGGCACTCCACGGCTCAAGCTGCTTCTGCTTAACCGCAATCTCATCGCTGATGCCCTGCGTCTTGCCCTTGAGCGAGTCGCGAATCTTTGCCAGCTCCTGCTCCTCGGCCTGCATCGCTTGTTCAAGATGCTCGATTTCACCTGACAGCCGCGCCACATCGTTCTGGGCATGCTTCGCTTGCGCTTCAGAATTGCTAATCTCGAAGGTCGAAGTGTCTCGTGTCTTTTCAAGCTTCTTCTCCTTGTTCTTGAGGTGCTTCTTCTTTTCCTCAATCTTGACGTGTGCTTTATCGAGATCGTCAACCTGCTTCTTGACAGCGGCGGCTTCCTTTTCCATCTTTTCGAATGCCTTGGACTCAGACTTGTGCTGCTTCTCGAGTGCCTTGACTTCTTCTTCCGCACCTCTGTGTCGATCGAGCTCCTGGCTCAGTTGTTCTTGAATCTGAGCAATGGCCTCTTCTGAAACCTGCACGTTGTCACCGCACTCGGCCACGTAGATCTGGTAGAGCGCAGATTGCTTGGAGGCAAGCTCATTCTCATCGCGGATATACGCCAATGCTTTATCCTTCTTGTCTTCCAAGCTGTTCTTCTCCTTCTCGACGTGCTGCACTCGGCCACTCTTTTCCAAACAGACTTCGTTCAAGGTCTCCGTCTCGGTCGCAGCTTCATCGATTGGTGTCTTGTACTTGGACGTGCCGATGATGTCCTCAAGATACTCCAGCAAGCCATCATCGTGCTCGCCGGCCGCCTTTGGCTTCATTTGAGCGATCGATTCGACTTCACCCTGCAAAATCAGGAATCGCTTGTGGTCCAGATCAATCCCTCTGCCCTTCAGCAATGTCGTGACGGTGGTGAAGTCGGAAGTCTTGCCGTCGATGTAGTATTTGCTGCTGTTGTTCTTGAAAGCTCGCCGGGAGATGATCATCTGAGAGTCTGGGAGGGGAGTCGAAGCACCTCCGGGCTGATCCATGACCATCTGAAAATGCACCTCAACTTCGCAATAGTCCAGATCAGGATACTGCGCGCTGTTGTGGATCAGGGCCGAAATCTTGCCTTGTCGCATCTTGCTCGCACGGAACCCAAAGACGAATAGAAGCGAGTCAATGACATTGCTTTTACCAGAACCGTTCGGACCAACAACCGAGGAGAAGGAGGAGTGGAAAGGACCCACTACCTGCTTTCCTGCGTATGACTTGAAATTGGTCAAGGTGAGATATGTGATGGTCATGCGTTCTTTGGGTGCTGCTGGCTCCTGTGATGGCTGAATTCCCAGTGCTCTCTTCTTGACCACGATGTCCATGGGTCGTTCCAGTCTCGTGACATTTGGATCGATCTTCTTGACTTCGATTCTCGTCGTGTCTGCGCGCGGCGTTTGCGCAATTTCTGCAGACCCAAGGACGCCTTCTTCAGCTGGAGAGGGTGGATTTCGATGCGCTGCTTTCGGCGTGGCCGGGTCCTCCTCCATTGTCACATCCGTCATCTCGGCGTCCTCTTCAGGCGGCGTGTGTCGTGACGTCTGCCGCGGCGGTTGCGCATTGATGGCAGATTCGGTGATGTCGGTGAGCGGGGTGGCCGATCGCGAAGCTGCATCTTGTCTCGGTTCGGGCGATATGGTGGGCTGTGGTGTTGGCAGACCAGGCTGTAGCTCGGGCGCATCCGTGGCAATTGATACGCGCGATGCCCTGCTCTGACGCGCGCGCACTGTTCTTCTCTTTGCCGGCGACGTCTTGGTAGGCGAAGGCGGTTCGGTCGTGTCTGCCACGCTCTCGGGAGGAGTGAAGACTTGCGACGGCTCGATGGATGCCTCAGTCGCATCGCCCACCTGCGTCTTTCGCCTGCTCGCGACGGTTCGCCTTCGATTTGTCGCATCGCCGCCCGTCTTTCTCCTTGGCGACGCCTTGGAGCTCTTCGGTGCAGGCGTAAAGTCGTCCTCCTCGTCCTGCTCCTGTTGCCGGCTGACCACGCTGTTTTCGATGTCTGATCCGTCCTCCTCGTCAATTACCACCTTCCGCTTTGCTGCCGCGCGTCGCGACGGTCTCACCGGTGAGTCGGCCATATCTGTACACAAATCGTGCTGCGGTGGTGGTTGGTAGTAAGGGTTTGGGCCTTGGGTTATCTTTGTTTACTTCCATCAAAACAGACGCGGGACAGAGTTCCGACATTCAGCCGACGCGCCGACGCGCCGATCTTGGCATTGATATTCACGTCTCTACAACCTCGCCAATGTCTCTTCACACTCTCCAACGATACAATACAGCGCAGACACTCCCACGCATATTCGATGCTCAGCTACACACTCTGCATGGACTCTCCACCCTCCTCATCCGAGTCCTCGATATGAGCACGTGTATCTCCTCCCAGTCCCAGCGCGCATTCAAATGCCAACGCCATCTTCCCACCCTCCTCATCACCTCTATCTCTCCACCCCCAGCCTTTACATCCCCAAATCTTGAGCCCGACCATCTCAAACGGCATCCTAGTCTTGGCTTGATACTCGAAGTTCAATTTGGAGACCTTGGGCTCGGTGATGATCAAGTTCCTCCACTGCGCCAGCCGCTGATTCCAACGTTTGATTTGCGCGGGTGTAGCCTGCGGTAAGAGGTTCAGGAGACTTCGTCCGCTTGTCTTCTGTGAGCTGTTGACTTGGGAAAAAACCAGCTTGATGGTGATGTGACGTGGTATCGCCGCCTCCCTCCATTGCGCCGTTCCGTGTGTCGGCGTATCCGGAGTTGAGGGCACGACAGCTGTGTCTTGAACTATCTTAGGAGCTGCATCAAGGACATTGACCTGTGCTGATGAAGTAGCAGACTTCTCTCCCGACTTTGCCGCGCTGATCTCTGGAAGATTGGTCAGGTAATCTATGACATGACTGAAGTCCAGATTGCGAACGACAGCCTCGATAGGCGAGCAGGTATCTTCCGCGATGCTGAGGTACTCGCGCCGAACCTGCTTGTTAAGCGCTGCAAAGGGTGATTGTCTGAATGCGCCGATGCCGCCGACGAGATGGATGACGGAGTGGTTCACGGTCACATCGTACTCGTACAGCTTGTTGCGAAGCTCTCCCGGGAGCTGGAGGAACGGGAAGTGTTTGTTGTTTTGGTCCTCACCAGCGGTCTGGGCATTCGACTCGTCTTGTTGTGTTGGCTTCTGGGTACTGCCACCGCCCGGAATGGCTGTCGGAGTGGCCTCGACCCTTTCTGCGGACGACATTGTGCTCTTCATGCTTGCGCTCTACTTGGTCTTGGTCTCTTCTAGTGTAGACTTGTCGTTTTGCTCCTTTTGCGGAGTTGTGCAAAGTTCAATGAAGTTGATGAAGAGATCCAGAAGCGCAAGGCAGAAACGAAGTCAACATTGCTTCCAAGTCTTGTCAATCACGAGCAACAATCAATCACAAGCAAAACTCACAATCGAAGCTCAGCTTTCACTCCACCGACATCATTCACTCGAGCCGATTCACATGCCATTCCAGGTACGTATATACGGCGGACACCGGTGAGTATATGTAGAATAAAGTTTGGGACAGAAAAGAGAAGTCAAGACGGACGAGAAGTCAAATGAGAACGAGAGCACAAAGGGCACGAGAATGTTTGCACAAAGTCTTTGATTGTGTATCGCGAGTTCTTTGAAATCTTTCGCCCGCCCAAGGTAACTCCCGCTTCTCCAAATGCCCTCTCTTCATCTGATCAACCATAGAATTTTCTCTCCCGACTGAATCCCTGCGCGAGTGACTTCGTCCCGGCCTTCCTCCCCTTCCTCTACGCCTTGACTTGAGGTGTCTGTCCAGACCTTGCCATGAGCCTTCTGCAATGCGTAAGATGCTTATGCAACTTGTCTGTTTTCAATTCGTTCCAGGATAGCTCAACATCTCACCAGGAATGCAGTGTACAAAGGAGCTAACACTAAATCCACAAGACAATTAAGATATAATACAACATCTGCCCTGGATATATCTAGCGCAGCCCCAAGAAATCAAAGCCCTATGTTCCCACAAATCAAGGACAAATCTTTGGTCCTGTTGTACCTATATACCCTGCACCCACCATATGACCTTGCCAACGACAACTCTTTCCTTTCCCGAGGGTCTTTTGAACACCGAAACTCCTTCGCTAAAAAGACGGCAAAATAGCATTCAATACAACAACCATGCGCAGATCTCATGATGACTTTCCACATTACGAAGGCTCGACCGGCCTGGATTCTTCATTATTATTATGCTGTGCCGCATCTCCATTCGTCTGGTCGGTGGTTGACGATAAGGCCGGCGCACTCTTCGTCTTATCCAAAGGCTCAGGGCTAGGAGTGCAATATTCCGACAAAACCTTCTTCAACTGCGGTCTCTTGATAGGTTTCGCGAGAAAATAATCCATGCCGCTCTCTAAACAGTCTTCGACGTTGCTCTGCTCGGCGAAAGCGGTCAGCGCCACAATAGGCTTGGTGAAGCCGTGTTGCCTGATGAGCTTTGCCGAGGTGAGACCATCCATCGTGGGCATTTGGATGTCCATGAAGATGAGATCAAATGGAGGGGTGGACGTTCCTGATTCCGGCAAAGAAGTGCGTTTCACAAGGTTTAATGCTTGCTCGCCATTCTCGGCTATTGTCACATCAAGAATGTTCTCCAGCTTCAACATCCGCCGGATGACTTCCTGATTCACTTTGTTGTCCTCTGCCACAAGAACCCGGATGGCGCCAAAGTCTTGTCGTGCCTCTTTCGCGATCTTTGTGTCTTTGGCTGCTTTTTTGATCGCAGCAACCCGTGCCGATGGATCATCACCTGTAACGGAGACCACAGACGGAAGTGGCTTGTGCACAGTCACAGTAGAAATCTCATGCTGCGTCTGGTCCGTGATGAGAGCTTGGCCAGGACTTTTGACAGAGACATTCACAGATCTCTGGGGTTCCTCACGAATGATGGCAATGGAAGATCTTTGCGAAGCTGTGACGTCCCTGGACATCCGATCGCTCTCTTGCGTGAGGCGTCGTAGTGGTAGCTTCACAGTGAATATACTGCCCTGCCCGACGGTGCTCTTCAGCTTAATGCTACCGCGCATCAGATGCACCAGCTGGGTGCATATGCTCAGACCAAGCCCAGTGCCGCTGTGTTTCCTGCTCAATCCAGCATCGCCTTGGACAAAGGGCTCGAAAATCTGCTGTTGCAATTCCTCAGCAATGCCAGGACCAGTATCGGTCACCTCAAATTCGATGAATATCTCTTCCCCAGGTGGAGGTGATCTTGCTCGCTCAGCGAGACGGTCTTGCACTTGAGATGTCTCCCGTGGGTTGATGAAATTGGCAGTCCCTGCTTCGCTTCCATCTTCCATCACCTGGGTATGGCGCCGATTTTGCTCAGAGCCCGCCCGGTCAAGTCGACTGGCGCGAGAGGTACGTCTTGGCGGTAGTTCGGTCAACGCTCTGATTGTGACCGTAACGCTGCCCATTGCGGGCGTAAATTTAAGCGCGTTGGAAGTCAGATTGATGACCACTTGTAACAGTCGATGGATATCCCCCCAGAAAGGGGTATTTCGAAGATTGTTGTCCTTGAGATCCACCATTACTGCTGGCGGCTCTTCAAAGACCACGCCGAGTTGAATGGCACGATCTTTAGCTTGTTCGAGGAAGATTGCGAATACTTGAGATTCAAGGTCGCGCAAGAAGAACTCCTTTTCGTCAAGTTTAAGAACTTGATGTCCGACCTGGTTTGTGCTGAACGTAAGAAGATCGGAAAGAGTTCGTAGCAGTAGGTCGCCGCTCTTGTAAATGATGGCTAGCGACTGTTTCAGTCGGGAAGGATCTTCTTCCTCCATGCAGACGGCGCACATTCCGAGAATTCCATTAAGAGGTGTCTTCAGTTCGTGACTGACATTGGCAACAAATATCGTCTTGCTCTCGTTTGCCGCTTCAGCTGCCTTTTTGCTATGCTCCAGCTCGATGGTCCGCTGACGCACTCTCTCCTCAAGTCTCGTGTACTGGACATAGAGCTCGTCGGACATTTCGTTGAATGTATGAATCAGATCAGTCATTTCGTCTTTAATCCACGGTTTCTTCACAGACACTTTCCCTGGAATGCGGAAACTGTCGCATTCTCGCTCCTCGATGCGTAAGCCGCCGCGGCGTTGGCCTCGCCATCGCGCGATCCTCTCAACAAAGCCGACAGGCGTCTTGCGGTCAGAAGTCTTGCGGTCAGACTTGGCTGATGATGTCGATTTCTCGCAACTGTTCAGTATCGTTACGTCGTCGGAATAGCCTGGGCTATTGTTATCACAACGAGGAGGGTTGACAGTCTGCTCCGTAGCTGCACGCAGACGAGTGATGGGTAGCACTGCCCAGTACGCTATTGGGAAAGAGAGAAGAATCCAGAAGCCAACGACGCCAAATAGACAAGACAAGATAATCGTGCGCAGGGTGTCGATGGGTTTCCACACCTCACTCCGGGCTTGCTCAACCACTACAACCCAATCAACGAGATTCGTAGGAGGTACAGAATAGCCGACAGAGACTCTCTTATCTGCTTCATTGTGAGTCTTCATCATACTGCCAACATCATCCACCCCACGTGTATTCTCCACAATTGCGGCTTCGACCCCAGGGTAGGCTCTCGCAGGAAAGGGCGCATTTGATGTCCCTCTTACATGCCGAGGGTGACGGTTGGCAGCAGTGCTGTTGAGAGGGATGATGTACTGAACTTCGACATCATGAGCAGCCGAGTCGTTTCCTATTATACCAGGAGCAAATTGATTCGTGGTATTCGTAGGCCCGATCAAAAGGGTCAAGCCAGTCGACCCGATGCCGCGCTGGTCTTGCTGGACCACCTGAATGAGGCGGGCATCAGTCACTACAGTAACCCAGCCAAGCACATCCGTGGCCGACGTGTTGTTGACAATTGGTAGGGTAATGGATAGCATAGAGAATGTGGCGTTGACCATCAGCGGGCCGAGGATGAGAGTAGAGTCAATGCCGAGAGACTTTTGGCTGTACTCTGCAGTGAACTCGGTAACTCCATCAACATCGACAGTTGAGATGGTGATGTTTGGATAAAGTGCTGGTGGGTAGCCGGCATAGCCCTTCCCGAGATATGCTTGACTGCCATCGGCGTCCCTCCAGGGTAGTGCAATGGTATTGGCTCCAATACCCGTGCCATTCAGTACCATTCCTGAACCTGCTGGCCCGCTGGTATTTCTCGAGTAGACTCCAGCTTGTAATATCAAGGCACTCGTCAGCGGACCAACGTTTCCCAACGTTGCTTCGAGATCCGCTTTCGCCAGGGTCCAGTTTTCTTCGTCTGTACTCGATCCATTATTGTACCGAGACAGCGCATGCTGAAGCACAGCTCTGGTGGTGATGAAAGTGCCAGCAGTTTGCATCAGCTCCAGGTTAAATGCGATCTGAGCAGCCTTGAGGGACACAGAGGTGCGCAGTCGCGAGGATGCAACACCCAGTACGAAAGAGTGGTTCACCACCCATGTTGCAATGGCGAGAATTGCGAGACCAAGTACGGACGACAGCACAAGGAGCGCTGCAAGCTGCTGGCGTATCGAGATGTGCATTGTGCGGGCCCACCCCACTGCGAGCGCGATACGCCTGCGGGCCGGCTGCCAGCTCGTGAGACGCCACCAGGCAAGACTGCGCCAGACGGAGGTCAATTTGCGAGCATTTTCGCTTCGTCGGCCTTGACATTCGTGGGAATTGTTTCGCTTGGCCCGGCACCTCCGCTCTCACCTGTGAGGCTCTGGCTGCTGAGTCTGAGCGCTTGTCGATGCGTGCGCGCGGAGGCTTTCTCTGCGCTTTCTGTGCCTCCGATGGCCTCGCCTCACCACGCTTACGTATGCTCGACGGGCAGCGCAGGTCGGCGGTGTTGTCTCGCTGATGATGATGAGAGGAGGAGTCGTGAACCGCCCCCGCCACGAGCCTGTTAGGAAACGAGACAAGCTTTCTGCAGACTAAGCCGTGGCGTGTCGTTTTCGGGATGCCTCGGATTGTCCCTGAACGCGGCCAGACCGGCCGTGGCACGAGTGCACAGACCAGGCTTGGCTTGGTGAGTGAATGAGTTGATGCCGATGCAGTACAGTCGGACCTGGCTATAAGCAACCGGCCGGTGGAGCTATAATAATGCTTATAACAAGCCATTGCTTATGGTCAAATTTGCTAAGGGTTGTCGCTCAAAGCGGCAAGGGTTAGAGCGACAGTAAGGTAGACAGAAGACTAAATATAGAGACTAATTATTAACAGTATATAGAGACTACAAAGTAGATAATTATTAAGCTAGTTACAAGAGCTAGCTATCTAAGTTGCGCTACTAAAGGCTATTGAATTGTCGCTAGCGTAATAGCTTCTTATAAGCGTAGAAGACCTATAGAATATTATAGTTTAGGGTATCCGATTAATACTCGTATAGAGTTGTTAGAGCTAAAGAGGCTATACGTAATTAGCATGTAATTAGGCCGAGTAAAGCTAGGGTCTTAGTGCCTTAGGCAGGGCTTAGCGCTTAGCGTTAGGCTAACTCTCCTACCTTCCTCCCTCTCCTCCTAGATCCTTATCGAATACTACTCGTACCTACTACTATCCTATCTACCTACTAATATACCCTTCTTATATAGTATTCGATCTACCCTTTAAGGGTAGTAGCTAGATAGTTCTTATTTTAAGCTTTTAGCGGTATAGCTACAAACAAGACTAATCTAACTATATTACGCCTAAAGAACGGGACCTATACGTACTATTCTATCGAAGCAACTGTACTAATTATTAAGCAAGGCCTTCTATACGGCCTATTATACTAAGTTAATCGTACTAGACTAATATCTACTAATTCCGCTATATCCGCATCTTAGGGGCTAATAATATATTATTAGTATTACCCCTTATTATAATAGCCGGCTTATTACGAAACAATAACCGTACTACCGCTAGTAGCGCTAGCAACGACAATACTAGTAGCATAGTGCCTACTAAAGTGCCTACTAAAGTGCCTACTAGAGCACCTACTAAAGTGCCTCCTACTAAAGAGCCTACCGGATAGCCTACTAAAGAAGAACCTATAATTCTAGGTAACGACCTAGAGTTGCCTGTTAACGACATTCTTAACAATATTGTTAATCGACGATATAGCTAACTAGCCTTTAGCCCTTAACTATTAGGGAGACTTTAAGAAGCTACTTAAAACAGGCTTACTGCCCTACGTTAAGAACAATAGCTAAAGGATAATCTCCTCGAGCTCCGTCGCCTTTAGGAAGCCCCGATAACTAAACTAACAGCGGGACCTTCTTTACTACCCGTTTTAGTCTAAAAGAAGGATGCTAAACTTAAGGACTATACCGTGTTTAATAGCTCTAGTCGGAAGCAATATAATAATCACATTCGTAACTGCGAGCTTAACTAGCGTAATGCACTAAGAGCGCTGCTAGATAACTACTTATTAGTCGTTTACGCTATGCAATATATTAATAGCGACCTAAAACGCACCTAGGATAACCACTTTAACTCCCTTACTAATTAGACCGCTATTTAGTAGCAAACCTATAAGACTATTATACTAGACACCCTTAGAAACCCTATACTAAGGCAACAACATACTTAGGACCTGTATCTTCGAGCTAAACAAAAGACTAATCAATCGGCCCGCTTATTCGAGGCCTATTTAAAAACCCTTAAAGACGACCTTCCGCCTAAGACTAATTCTATATAGATCTCCGAGATACGCCTAAAACTTAGATAGGAGCTTATCCTCGAATTAGACCGCCGCCGTATATTCGAACAAGCTAATCTAATACGCATTCAATTCATAGTCGAAGTAGAGATAGCCGAACGAGCTGTTTAGCTCTAATAACGACTAGAATCGAGGATCCGACTAGCTAGCACTAACCGTAGCAACCGTAGCCGCGGAGGAAACTAAGGTTCCTACTATAACAACAATGCTAACAATAGGAATAGTAACAATAACCGTAGAAGAGGCCGTAGCCGCCGGCTATATAGAGGAGGCCGCGATAGGGGCCGTAGAAGGGGCTCGTATCCCTATAATGCTAACCGCTCGGCTAATAACAGTAATAACAGCTACGGCAGTCTACTAACCGGGTTGAAGTGCTTTAATTGTAACAGTACTAGCTATCTACTAGGCTAATGCGACAAACCTAAGGACTAGGCCCGAATTAACCGTACTTCCGCTAAATACCGAAAGTACCTCTTAGCGGCTAACGCTACCCCTATAGGCCAACCTTCGAAAAAAGAGTAAGCGCCGCACTAACTGTTAGCCTCGTACGGCGTAAGACTATCGACATTGTGCTAGCTATAACACGCTCCTGCCTTGTACAGGATACGAAGGGCACTACCTATTAAACTAAGGTTATACTAGATCTAGGAAATTCAGTTAGTGCCCTTATTAGCTATCGCCTAGCTAAGCAATTAGACCTTCGACAACTGCCGAAGACTAACCTACTAACCCTTACTTAGTTTAATAACGCTCGGCACTTAACCTATAGGGCCTACTATGTTCCTATAGCTCTAAAGGACGACCTCGGAAATAAACGCCTACTAGACTTTACTGCCTACGTAGTAGATATAGACAACCTATATAGGGGAGCTACTATTGTTATTAGCAACCCTGTTCTCAAGTACTACGCTATAGCTATAGACTTAGGCATTTAGAAGTGGCGATTTAGAATCGCTAGGAAAGAGGATATTAAACACATTAATGTTAGCGAGTGCCCTAACGATATTAGGGTCCTGTTTATTAGCAACCTAACACTAGCCTCCGCCTTAGCTAATCCGATAGCTAATCTTCTCGGTAGAGATAACGATGAACCCGTGCCCCCTAATAGTATAGATCCTAAATAACTTAAGCGTATACTAGAACCTATTCGAGAGACCTACATTAATATGTTTAAACACTACCTAGCATCGACATTGCCTATATTTAAAGAGACGGATTATAAGATTGATATTATAGAGGGCAAAGAGGTCCCTTTTAGACCCCTCTACAACCTTAGTAAGCGAGAGCTTGCTATGTTGCGTAAGTACCTAGAGGAAAACCTAGCTAATAGCCGGATACGGTATAGTAACAGCCCTGCTAGTGCCCTTATCCTGTTCGTACTAAAGAAGAATAGTAGCCTACGCCTCTATATCGATTATCGTAGGCTTAATACTATTACTATTAAAGATCGCTGTCTACTTCCCCTTATTAATAAGACCCTCGATCGCCTTTCTAGTGCCTACTACTACACTATATTAGACATTAAGGACGCCTATTACCGCATTCGTATTCGTAAGGGCGATAAATGGAAGACAGCCTTTCGCACTCGCTATAGCTATTTCGAATACTTAGTTATGCTATTTAGGCTAGCTAATGCCCCTACTATATTCTAGTCCTACATTAATCGGGCCCTATTAGGCCTATTAGACCATCTCTGTATAGTTTACCTAGATAACATCCTAGTTTACACACATTTACCTAATATTATAGAACACTAGGCCGTAGTACGCAAGGTCCTCGACCGCCTACAAGCCTATAGACTATATTGCAAACCTTCTAAATGCACCTTTACTACTAAAGAGGTGTTATTCCTTAGCTTCCTCGTATTAACTAAGGGTATTAAGGCTAATCCTAATCGGATTAAAACTATTACTAAATAGCCTGTTCTAACTTCGATTAAGGAACTATAGTCGTTCCTCGGCTTCGCTAATTTCTATCGTCGCTTTATTAAGGGCTATTCGCGGTATGTAATGCCCCTAACTGAGCTTACTAAAACCAAGGCTAACCTAACTAGAGAGTTTAAATAGACTAATAGAGCACAAGCCGCTTTTAACAGTTTAAAGAAGCGCTTTACTAAAGTCCCCTTGTTACACTATTTCGTACTAAGCAAACAGATCCGAATTAAGACTAACGCTTTATAGTTCGCTATATTAGCTATTATATTATAGCAGGCTAATAACACCTACTAGCACCCGATTGCCTTCTTCTCGAGGAAGATAATTAATACTAAGCGTCGCTACGAGACCTACGAGCAAGAGCTCTTAGCTATTATTAAAGCCTTTAAGCACTAGCGCTACTATCTCGATAGTGCCTAGTATACTATTTAGGTCTATACGGACTATAACAACCTCCGTAGAATTACGAAGGTTACTAGGGTTATAGGTCGATAGGCAAGATAGGCCGTCTACCTCGCCGGGTTTGATTTTAATATATTATACCGGCTAGGCGTAAGTAACCCTACCGATAGCCTATCGAGGCGACCTAATTACAACAGCGAGACCTAATACATTAATTCTTTGTTTCTAACCCTATAGTATAAGATTGCTATAGCCCGTATTGTTAATAAGTAAGCGTAGGATAAGCGGACTTCCGGACCCCGCGGTAGCAACAAATACTATAGCGGAGTTGTCGTTCTTCTAGTACGCGTTAGAAAGGACGTAGATCGCTCGAGCTATAATAACTCGATTAAAGACATTGCTATCTACAGTAATAGCCTATATAGCGATAGTACTATAGAAGAGGTTGTAGTAGTTCCGGCTGCTAGTGCTATTAGATGCATATAATACGTATCTCGTTCGATAGTACGGGTGCTATTAAACGACCTTGCAAATAGGGATAGTTAATCGTTTATAGATAAGCTGTTGCGTACTTAGCAGAGGGACGCCTTTACTATCGAGCGTATTAATAAGCTTATAAGTAGACAGGCGACTCGATCTAGCAAGAGTAATAACTAGTCGATTAACGACAAAGGTTACTTAAAGTTTAAGGGCAGATACTATGTCCCCGCTAAACAATCGATTAGACAAGAGCTTTTAAAGAGGCACTATAATAGTGAGCTCGCTAGTTACTATAGTATAGAGAGGTCGCACGAGTTACTATCGCGCATATACTACTAGCTAAATAGTAAGCGGCATATAAAGGAGTATATACAGACCTATGCAGTATGCTAGCGAGTTAAAGCACTAAAGCACTTACTATTTAGCGAGTTGTCTTTACTCCCTGTTCTAAAGAAGCCTTTTGCAGAGCTTATAATAGACTTTATTATAGGTCTTCCCCCTGCTAAGCGAAGAGGAAGCAAAGACGTCTTTAACGCTATACTAGTTATTATAGACCGATTTACTAAGGGTGCTCGCTACATTCCTGCTCGGAAAGACTAGACTACTATTAATATAGTAGAGGCGCTATAGAGTAACATCTTCTATACCTATTAGGGAACCCCTAAGGGGATAGTCTCCGATAGGGGCTCGACATTTATATCTTACTATTAGAGCGAGATTTGCTTATAGCTAAGACTAAAGTATCGGCTGTTAACAGCCTTCTATCTACAGACTAACGGTTAGACAGAGAGGCAGAATGCTACCCTATAGCAGTACCTACGCAGCTATATTAATAAGAACCCCGAGGATTAGGTCAACCTCCTATAGCCTATAGAATTCGTATATAACAATAGTGTACATTTATTAACCAAGATCTCGCCCTATATAGCTATAATAGGCTAGAATGCTGCTATGCTACAAGACCTACTATCGCTCGAGGCCGAGCGTAAGGAAAGGGAAGCGCGTTAAGTACCCGAAACACTAGCGGCTATTAAGAGGGTTTAGAAGATGCGAGAAATCTATACTAAGATAGCCGAGAAGTTAATAAAGGCTTAAGAGTACTAAAAGACCTACTACGATAGGCGCTATATACTAATAACTTTTAAGTAAGGCGATATAGTTATGCTTAGTATAAAGAACCTCCGCATCCGCAAATACCTATTACCTAATAGCAAAACAAGGCCTAAGCTCGCACTAAGATATATTAGCCTATTTCGTATTCGAGAGGCTAAGGGTATATAGGCCTATTAGTTGTAGCTCCTACCTTATTATACTATCTATAACACCTTCTATGTATCCCTCCTTAAGCCGTACTACTTACGCGAAGGGGATGAAGCCCCTATAGAATACGAAGATATACTAGCGGATAGTAAGGAGCTATAGTCTATAGAACGTATCCTATAGCATCGCACTAGGCAAGGCAAGAAGGAGTACCTGCTAAGATAGCAAGGCTATTTACCTAAATAGGACTCGTAGGAAGCTAAAGACTCCTTTAAAGACATAACTAAGTTGTTAGATAAGTATTAGACTAGTATAAAGAACAAGAAGAAGGCTAAGGGCCTATAATATTACCTAGGAATAATACTACCCCTAGGGTGCTATTAGCTAACTAATTAGAGGCAAGCAATTGTTAGCAACAAAGGACAATAAGACTATACTACTATAGAATCTACCTCTTTACTAGCGCACCCTATAAGACCCTCCTCTTAGCGCCCCTCTTGTTTCTACGTCCTATCGAGGCCTAAGGCCTAGGGGTCGATAGAGGCGGCGCGTACGCGTAGGCGAATAGTATTAGTAATAGTAATAATAACGACGGCGCGGCCGGCGCGGCTATATTAGTAACAGTGTTGCGGGGTGTGTTACTATTCGAGAAAGGAAGGATACCGCTATATTAGTAACGGTATTGCTAATATTGTTATTAGTTAAAGAAGGAAACCGGAAGCAAGGTAAAGTTAGCGCTAAGACGGCTAGCGCCGCTATTATTAATATTACCTAGTCGCTACTATTATTAACCTTACCTACGTTAAAACTTTAAGGCATCTTTAATTAAAACTTTAATTAAAGCTTTAAGCCTATTAAAGGTTTAATTAAAACTTTAAGCCGCCTAAAGGATTAAGCGACTAATAGACTAACTAAGGGCAAAACTATAGAGCTAAGCTAGCCGGGGTCGATCTTGCGGACAATAGGTTACTCCTCGATCTATCTAACCCTTTAAGCGAGGCGAACCTCTACTACTACACTTATAATAGCCTTTACCTATAGAAACTAGACGAGCTGTGTTTTTTGAAAAGATAAGATAAGATTAACACTTAAAGGCTGCTAAACCTAGCTAATTAGGGCTAGCGAAACTACGAACAATAAGAATAATAACCCTCGGAAGCGGACAAACCCTCGGAAGCGGACATTGCTAGGTCTTTTAAGAGTAGACGCAAAGAACTCGGTATAACATTACTTAGAGCAGAGGCAGGGCTGCAATACCTCGTACGTCTACCTATTATAGTAGAGAAGACGCGCTTATATTGTAATTAGTCGAAGGCCCTTAATTCTTGTAGATATATATTACTTTATAGTTTATTATATATAGGGATAGCGCAGTTAGAAGTTAGACATTGTATTAGAAGGTAAGGTTTAACATAGTTATATAATTAGGTAGTTAAGTGTTCAATTTAGCGCGGGCTAAATAGCTTATTAGACTTACTAAGTTAGCGGCAATAGAGGTCGTAGAACATAGACAGGCTACGAGGGCGCGGCCTTTAGAAGGGAAGCGTATATTAGAGCTAAAGAGGCTATACGTGATTGGCATGTAATCAGGCCGAGTAAAGCTAGGGTCTTAGTGCCTTAGGCAGGGCTTAGCGCTTAGCGTTAGGCCAACTCTCCTGCCTTCCTCCCTCTCCTTTTAGATTCTTATCGAATACTACTCGTACCTACTACTACCCTATCTACCTGCTAATATACCCTTCTTATAAGAGTTAACTTCTTAAGCGCTTTAATAGCCTCGAGGACCTTAATATAAGGCTCTTCTTCTAGCACTTCTAGGCCCTTATTAGCCTACTTAGGCGCTAGCGCAAACTCGTCGATAACCGCCTAGAATATATCCTTATCTTAGTCCTTAACTACCTCTTCTATAGGGCATAGAAGATGCTGGATATCTATAGCTTCTTTAATGTATTTAAGCTCTTTAAGGCGCTCGAGATCGTTATAAAGTGCGGCTTCGAGTAAGGCTTCTAAGTCGCTTATAAAGTGTCGATTAACCGTTCTATTATTGCCGTAGCGGCGGAGGTGTTTAAGGCGTATAAGAGGGCCGTTCCTTAGTCTAAATAACGTCGAGTAGACGAAGTAGTTATCGATAGTCTCTAGCGTAACCTCGTACTAGGCGCGGATCGTATATTTAATAGTAGTAAGAAGGTTTATAGTTTTAAGCGGATCGCGGTCGTTCTCGACCTCGTTAAGTATAAATACTAACTAGAGCTTCCGATAGTGCGCCTTAAAGGCTTTAATAACGCCTTAGTCGAGAGGTTAAAGTATAGAGGTCGTATTTAGTAGAAAGAATACGTAGGTAGTGCGCCTAAGGAGGTTGCGCTATATTAAGTCGTCGATAGCGGCTTTATAATAGCTAAAGTTGTCTATTAGCAAAACTACTAGTTCTACTATTAGGTTATTAAACTATAGCAGCTACCTAGCAAAGATAATAGTATTTATCTACCCCTTCGCGTTATATCGATATATATACGCTAGGGCCTTAATATTTACGCCTACGGCCTAGAAACAGCGTAGTTTAGCTAATCGACCGATAATCTAAGGTGCTATCTTCTAGGAGCCGTCGGCGTTATAGTAGTAAGCGATTATAACTCGGGCCTTGTTACGCTTAATACTAGGAAGATCTTTAGTCGTTAGGCTCCTATCTAGTACTATTTTCTAGAAGTTAGCGGTCTCGTCGATATTAAATATCTATCGAGACTTGTATAGTTAAAGAATTGCTCGAAGATTAATCTAGAAGGTGCGTTATTAGCGGGGTGTCCCTATATAAGATAAGGGCTTTAGCTAGCTAAATTAATATAATAAGCGCGGTCCGCTTACGGTCCGTCGGCGGACCGCTAGCTTAGCGCGGGGCAATATCTCTTCGATAGACTTACAATCGCTACTTTATAGTCTTTAATAACTATACTGCCTGCCTCGCTATGCTAGCGCCTCTCCTTAATACTATAGCGGTCCTTATATCCTTAGAGCTATCTATTAGAAAACTTAGGCTCCGGACGACTAGCAAACTAAGGCGCTAACCGCTAGAATTCGGACGCTTTAGGGCGTAGTCGGTTACTAGCAATTAGCGCCTGTCGCTCGTGCTTCTTCTAGTACGAATATAATATTACTTCTAGCTCCGGATAATGCTCCTTACGCTTCCTCTTATAGACCTAAGCGCTCTCTAATATTCTAACGTCGAGATAGGTATATTTGTCGCTTAGAAAGCGAGAGAGCGTCGACTTATCGATCGCTTTGCTATACTTCGTATTAGGCTGCCCCTTTAGGTTAGTAAGAGTCTAGAGTTAGTTATTGCGCTTCTTAGCGCGAGCGGCGGCCTTCTTAGCTATTAAATACGACTATCGTAGAGCTATTGTTAGAGACTGTCGTTATTAAGGGTAAATAAGTAACTTTTTAGTTAAAGAAATAGCTTAGAAACGAGTATTAGGTAATAGGTATACGAGGACGATAGATATAGGTTTACTAAGTCTACTTCTACTATAATATATATACTATTTCTCGACCTAGTAGCTATCTAGCTATTATTAGTATATACGCTAAACCTAGCCTCCTACCGGGCGCAATTTGCCCTTCTAACCTCCCTAACTACCCTCCTTAACTACCCTCCCTAGCCTTAGGCACTAACCTCCTCCTAAGCAATCGTATAGATCTCGGCCCTTGCGTATTATTAGCAATTGCTAATTTGCAGTAGATCACTAAGAAACGGTAGAAAATGAGATTACGTTGCTTACAAACCGATATTGCTTATTCGGGACTTGCCTATAGCAGGGTTCGACTGTAGTCGTGGGTCGAATAAGCGTGGCAATGTCTTCTGCAAAATTGGAGCTGGTGGAGTGAGGTTGAAATGTGAAATGAAGCAGTGTGTTGAAAATAGACCCACGCGATCCCCGCTTTGACTTTGGCCCCGGATCGGCCCAGAAATGCGCAAGGGTCTCCCGCAGAAATCCCTCGTCAGACCTTTCGCTTTCTTCAACTTCATCATATTTGCACCATACCATTCACATCCCACACAATTGCATGCTCAGCGGCAGCGGGGAGAAGTCGTGGTTGCGCGCCCATTGACACCGCCCCGCCCCGCACCGCACCGCACCGCACCGCACACGCAGAGCAAGATCCATCCGCCCCTGTCTAGACCTCATATTGTGAGGAAGATGCCAGTGGAGCTATATCTGGAAGTACTGACGGGAGGCTCTGATCTTTTGGGACAGCACTCGACGAGAAATCCGCATCGAGGCAATCCATCAGCGGAATTGGGATTCGCTTGCACGCCGAGGACCCGCAGAGTTCATTGACCGCACGCCCTACCGGGATCAACCCAGTGACCGCGATGATTGAAGTAAACGGCTGGGAGCAAGATCTGGTCGTGCACAGAGATTTGTGGCAGCAATCTGATAAGAAGCAGGAGTGATCGGAAATTCGATCGATAGTGGACATTGAACGCAGTCGACTCGTCAATCGCATTCAGAATTGATAATATACAGCAGCCTCCAGAAGACAGATGAGTACGCTACTCCTTCGGCGACACTGGCGGACTGTCACAGTGATCAGCTTGATCGGTCTTGGCGTTCGACAAGCCGCAAGCGGTACTCAAGGTCACTAGCTACCTCCATCAAGCGACGAATTTCCTGCTCATGCGCTGCAACAATCTGCCACGCCTTCTGCGCGTCTGAAGCTTGTCTATCCTACGGTCAGCATATCAATACATCACATCGAGTGACACGAAAGAGACTTACTCCGGCTTTTGACGTGGCTCGCCCCGAGACGCCATATGCTCCGGCGTATAGTTCTTGAACCGAACGTTCGCGCTCGCTTTCGCTATCGTTGTCGCACGAGTATCGCCATCCACTCCATCAGACCAGTATGCGCAAGGCTTTGGAAGGTCTCCAGCGGCGTTGGAGTGGCCACTGGCATCTGATGCACAAATTCCAGTATGCTTCATTATGCGGGTACTGCCATCTGCTCGACGGTACTGGGCAAATTGGATGTTGACATCGTCCTCGCCATCCCCGGAACCATACGCTGAATCATCAGAAGGACACCGGCTCTGCCTCCGACCACGTGTCTGACTTGTGTGCTGCACTGATGCAGACGGGCGCTTGCCGTTCCCGTTCCACGTTGCTTGTGGTACCTGAGGCATGTTCGCAGAAATCCTTACGGCTCTCTCAATCCATCTGCAAGGTACACTGGTCTAGGCGCCCGGCAGTTGTCAATCCTCAGGACTGAGTCGTTGGAACACAGGGCTGGTATACATATATTGGAACGTGCTGCGGGACCATTTATCAGCCGCTTTCACGCGTACCCTATCAGTGCCAGCTAGCGGATGACGGAACGTATGCGTGATTGCGAACAGATCATCTGCAGCTCGCATTGGCTTTTGTGAATCATCGAACGGAAGCCAATGCAACCAATTGCTGCTGCTTTCCATGCACGCCATGCAGGAAGAACGTCTTCACGACTACATGATTGCAAATCCTGAGTCATGCCAGGGGATAGCTGATCTTGCGATCTCCCTGATGATGATAGGGCGAGAGGCACTTTGCCAATTGGTGGACCTGATGGTGTCTCAAGAATGCCCTCGACTGCTAGTCAGATCCTTGGTCACTTGTCGGCACGTCTTGATCAATACCTCGGTAGCTCGGCCGCGTGGATACTGGACTTGGCATAGAGCGAAACGATCGACCATTTCCGCCCTGAATGGGGATGTCGCGAACTCCGTTGTCCTTCCTACTTCAGTCTAGTGCACCTGTCTAGCTCGGGAGTAAACAGCTTTGTCAGTTTCACGCACTATTATGTTATACAGCACCGTGGTCCGTTAGGAGTCCGAGTGTCTCAAGGCCACGATGATATCGCCTGCCTTCTAGAGGAAGGATCTGCCAAGCCACGCAACTTCTTTGGATTCCAGAGCTCGGTCAGCCTCCGGTAAGTGGTATGCTACAGTAAAAGCAGCTCACGTCGAAACCAGACCTAGTACCGGGCAATCGGGACTGGAACCCTGATTGCAGCCACGCTAGCTCGAGCGAGAATCAGCACTCCTGCGACCACTTTTAGCGTATCAAACTGCCGGAGCGACCGCTCTGTCGTTCGAGCGGTCGCTCCAAGACTCGATTCGGATGCTAATATCGCCTAATAAAGCTAGCGTGGAGCGATGTGTGCCCTGCTAGACCTATAGTAATGCGGCGAAATCCTTCTAATGCTACTGTAGGAAGCAGTAAACCCGTATCGAAAGATCCTCTAAGCGTATGCGAATGGTACTGGCATCTGTCATGACATGTGTAGTAGTCAGGCACGCCTTGGCATGGTGTCTTAATGGACACGTTCGGAGAGATAATGCTCGGTCCCTAACGATGCAAACTAGGTATGCTATTGCCTTCTTATCAAGCCATCTCGCTACTACTAGTAAGTTACGCACTTCCTATCTCAGTGATTACACTAGATTCGATAGTGCTCAATATACTTCTTTCTCTTTGCGACCGCTCGAATTCCGGGCGGCCGCGGGTAGTGACAAATTCGTCCTCCTAGTTCTTGCTAGAGTCGTAGTGTCCAGCCTCGGCAGTAGTAACTACGAAGCAGAGAAATATCAATCTGCGGAGCATCAACTGCTCTCTGCGCTATAGCAATAGCGTAATAGAGCATGCTACCGTCTACATTTGCCATAATTTCAAACGCTTAGGAGACCAAGCAAAGGAAGTACCTTAGCCTGACGCTACATCACGGCCAATATCTAGTAAATCTTTGTGCGAGAAAGCTTGATTTGAAGACGACCTTGCTTGTCGATGAGGATGAGAGACAAGAATCCATTGAGCTCTTTTGGAGTGGGGGGTGCTCTCCGATGTGGCTATGCTTACAGAAGAAAGTGCTGATCAGGCTTGTCAAGATCATTGGTTCTGATGGTGTTGCGAGGCATCAAGCTTACTGCCGAAGGGAAGACTTGCTCGTCTCATCGTAGCATGGCGTTCCTCGTAGTCAGATCATCAAAGGCATGATGACTGTTCATGACCATTCCCTTAGAACGTATGTACACTCTACACCGCTCTTATGGTATCACTGGAAAACAACAAAAAGCCTCCTTTCAGTTGGAATCCGTGACTCCCCATTTCCCGACCTGTTCCATAGCTCCTTTACTACCCTCAGCCAGAACGCCAGTCTGATCTTTGAGCGCACCAGAAATGCAATGCCAGCCATCTCTTCCGCCTCCCCATCTAAGCACTTCCTCGCGGAACAAATGCCCTTGCTCAGGATTCACAGCATCTCCAACTTGGCGCTGAAAGACATCCCGCCAGATCTTTCCAGCGATAGCGCGGTCGAAAAGGTAGGAGTAGTACGTCGCACCGTATCCGAAGAGGTGACCGAAGAAACCCTGCCAAGATGTGCCCTGGGGCTCAGGAACTGCTGAGTACCTGTTCCAGACTTCGTGGTAGACCCGTGTGGAATCGCCTTCTTTGTTCCAGCTCAGGGGTAGGGAAGAGTGGTATTGCTGATCAAGTATGCCGAGCAGGATTTGTGATTCAATCTCAGCGCCTTGCATCCTGCGGTCGATTTCGACTCTTTCTTGAATTCGTGATGGGTCCAGAGGTGTATCTGTTTCCCAATGCCGGGCATAGAGAGCGAGCACTTCGGGTGCAGATGCGAAGTTCTCCATCAAGACTGAGGGCAGCTCGGCGAAATCGGTGGCGCAACGTGTTCCAGAGACGTTTTGCAATGCGGTCCTGCCGCAGATTGAATGCAGTGCATGGCCCATCTCGTGAAAGAGTGTCGTAAGCTCACGGAATGTGAGGAGCGTTGGTCGTCGGTGAGAAGAGGTATGATCTGCAGGGAGGGAGAAGTCACAAATCAAGGCAATGGTCGGGAGCTGGTAGAGGGCATTGCCATCACGCGGATTATAATTGGTTGCTAGGCCATCGTTGACTGCTTCCTGCGCGGTCGAGAAGGGTGAGTCTGGTTGAGACGATATGTATGCAGCTTCTTGCATCTCCTCATCACCAATGCGCCGCGAGCAGCGCAATGTAAAGTGAGCGGGATTGGGTGACTTCCCAGCTCGCTCGAAGAGATCGCAGTAGACAACAGCGATGTGGCCTTCATGATCGTCGATCACATCAAGCCTCCTCACATCGTCATTCCAGGTTTCGCCTGGCATAGTCTCGCGTGGCACAAGACGGATACCGTAGAGTCTGTGAAAGAGGCGAGACAGGCCTTGAAAGACCGTGCCTAAAGAGAAATATGCGCTGAGAATGTCCGGCGTGCGTGCTTTCGACCTTACAGATGAGAGTAGCTTCGCCGTGTAGTAATCTCGATCCCAAGCGTTGATTCGGTCTGGGAAGTTTTCCGAATGTGCGTCGCCTTTCTTTAGCTCTAGCAATTCCTGGAGCTCGTCTCTGACCTGTGGTGCATTCACTTGGGCCAAGCCATCCAGGAAGGAAGCCACGGCCTCGGGCGTTTTGGCCATCTTGTCAGTCAAGGTCATGTGTGCAAAACTCTCGTAGTCCGACAACTTTGCCAATTCCGCCCGCTTTTTCAGCAAGCGCTCTAGTCTATTAATGTTCGATTTGGAGGAAGTTCTGTTCGCCAGGTATATCTCTTGTCGGGTGTCCGGATCTTCCACTGATCGTAAGGCTAGTGTTGCTGGCATACCTTCGGTTGGCAGATTGACAAGGCCCCATTTTGTCAATTGTCTTACGAATACTGGGTCCATTCCCTTCATCTTGCTGCTCTCAATGGCCAATAGTGGTTTCTCTGCAGCCATGTTTTCGACAAACTCGTTGCCGACGACCGCGATCTCGTCCGAGATGTCCACGAAGGCCTGTCTATCCTTCTCCGGCAGTTCGATGGCACTTTTCGCGAAGTCCCGAATTAGGATATCGGCCACAGATTTCTCCTCTTCGCTCCATGACTGCCATACTTCTTGAATCGACGCAGCCTTCTTTAACTGTGTATCCAATCCTCTAGTGGTATTTAGGATATTCATGTACTGGAACATCATCGCGTACGCCCTGCTCGCAGCAGCCTGTATCTGCCTGTCCGGATGAACGGATCGAATGAAGTCGCTGAGATCAATGACACGACATAGCAAGTCACTTAGTCGATCCATATCTCGCGTGATGTTTTTATATTGCTCCAAGCTGTCATACTTGAGTACTTGCGCAACAATGCGCTGGCACTTCTGGAGTGTGACATTGGCGAAGTCCTCGAAGCCTTGCGGTCTTGTGAGGAACTTATTCTGTAGAAGACCTGCATTTTTGCCGCCATATTGATGTTGCGTCTTGTTCGAGAAGTCTCTCCAGAAGTTGGGTGAATCGAAAATCTGGCGAAGTGTTCTATCGTCGTGTGTTATGCTCGTTGCCGCTCTCGAGATTGGTGGTGCATATTCGTCCGCTATCGCCGCTGCCGCCGCCGCTCCTTTGGCTGTGGACGATGTGACCAGCGCGCGTCTGGTGTGGTTTCGTATGCATTTCGGACACGTCCATGCCTTCCTCTCCAACTGCTTGAGCATCCTCACGTGCCTGGTGTAGATGAACAGAAGGAAGTTCGACTTTCACATGCGCGATGATGTGAGGCTCTCCCGAAGCCCGAGAGTCCGAGATACTATCGTTTGCCCAAAACCTGTCAGTACGGTCCGCAGAGCCGCCTCCTCTCTTAAGCCGTATAGGGGTAGGCAAAAGGGGCACTTTTACGTAGTTTTTATCGTGTTTCTTCTTAATTGTCGTCGTCGAGTAGAGGATAATCGTATATTCGAGCCCCGTACGTATATTCTAACCGTTTCCGAGTGCTATTACTATAATAATGCCGCTAAGAGAGATACGTACGAATACTAGTAAGCCGCTAGTACGATTAGACGACGAGATAAATAACTCTACGCTAAAGAAGAAGGTAATCCGCACTCTCGAGAAGACTATTAGTCTACTACTAATAAAAAGGAATACTAATACGGCTTAGTAGGCAAAGGGTAGCTCGAAGAGTAGGTCTTCTAGCGGTAAGAAGAGCAAAGCGACTGCCGACCTAATTATTAATCTACTAAGTAAGGAGACCGTAGCGGCGCCGGTAGAGGAGACTAGCGGTATAGAACTACTAAAATCGGCTATTTCTTCCTCCGCTTCGACCTCTATATCCTTCTCTTTTAATACTATGTAGGAGGCGGCTACTACTACTAGTAGCTAAGCCGCTCTCGCTATAGGCGCCGCTCCTATTACTTAACCTAGCTCTTTCTCGGACGAGACCTTCTATTATAAAAGCTAGTAGACGCTATTTAATACGATAAAGAAGGGTACGGCGCGGACTATAGGAACGAAGCTAGTAAAGTTCTTATCGGCTAACAAGTAAGAAGCATAGAACGGACACGCGTAGGCGGCGAAGATAGCGAAGTTAAATAGTCTCTCGGCGGCGTTTAATTAAGTCGTTATCTATACTAGAGCCGACGGTTAGAAGATAGCTTTTACTAGCGATTAGTATTAAGCTAGAGATAATATTAATAGCGATAAGGTCTATAGTAATACTTTATAAGCTAGCAAAGAATTAGTGCTTGCCTCGCGGAAGAATGTCTTTATTAATATCGACTTCTTAATAAAGCCTAAACTAGTAGCAGCTAGACCTTTAAGTATTAAGAAGTTAGGTAAACCGGCTTCTAATCTAACCTTAATTTAGCTTACTAACGCCGGCGTTGTAATAGCTAAATTAGAGGTATAGAACCGGTAGGACTATTATATTCTAAGAGACCTTCTTTATAGCTATAAAGATTGTCTAAATTATTATAAGGCTAGTAAGTATACTTGCTAGCGTAATAAAGCACTAAAGGACTATAGTAAGAACTACTTTCCGTTCTTTAACGCTACTATAATTGAGGGCTATAAGGCTATCGCTTCTAGCGAGTAGAAACGAGATCTAGTAACTAATAAGCTCGAGAATAGGATACTAGTACGTCTAGAGATAATAGTAATTAAGAGGAAGATCTAGTTAGAGTTTTAGAAGGGTAAGGCTCGAAGAATGCGAGGCCGCCGAAGTAGTAAGTCCGAGTCGCTACGTAAAGCCGTTCCTACTACTAGAAGTTAGCCTATTATTCTTAACAACTTTAGTAAGGACTTCGGTCGTATTCTAGATAGTAAATTGCGCGGAAGTAGTATTATACCTAGTATACTAAGTAAGACACCTACTCGGGCTCTTATAAAGACTAGTCTACGTAATATTATACTACTACGGAATATCGTTTAGTACGAGAAGCTAACGGTAGAATTCTTCGACTAGGTTGCCTTATAGCGCGAATTCTAGGATTACGACTATCTACGGCCTTATATCGCCTATTTCGTCGGTATAGGCTAGACGCTAGAGACTATCTGCAATTTAACAAAGGACGACTAGCCGGCGGCACTTACTAAAGTAGATAGAATAAGGTTAAGATTGAAGAAAGCTATCGTCGAGTTTATAAGGAAGAAATAGGATAAGATTATAGCGGCGGAAGCAGCCGTAGCGGAGGAAGGAGAGAATTTCTAGGAATCCGGGCTTTCTTTAGGCATCGATCTTTATATAACTATAATATATCTAAACTTGTAATAAGCGGGAGATTCTTGCGGTAATAGCACTTATTTAGCCTATATATAATTAATTAATACAATGCGTTAGTTATAGAACACTAAGAGCGATAGGCAAAGCTAGCGTTCGAATATATTTATTCGAATCTCTAACTCGGAGCTTTCCGCGCGCTAGTAGCGACTAGTTACATTACTCGAAATCTTCGAAGTCTACCTCTTATTCGCTATCTTCCTCGTTATCTTCCTTAAATATACCCTTACCGTTATAATATACTTCTAATACGTCGTTAATTATCGACGGTAAGGTATTCTAAGCCTATTCTATCTATTAGGACTCTTCCGAGTCTAGCGCTATTATATTCTAAGCCGCGCCGGCGGTATGTTCGAATTCGGCTAGATCGTACGGAATATCGATACTATCGACGTTATATCTAGCAAACTTAAACAACTCTCTCGATCTACGACCCCTATACTTATATAGGTACTAAAGCAAGTAGTCCTAGAAGCCGACAAATCTTAGAAGGTCGTCTCGGTATTTTTTAATAACTTTCTTTAGTAGATTAAAGCTACCCTCGATCGGGTTTAAATCCGGCGAATACGGCGGTAGAAATTCGAGGTAATAGCCGGTATCTAGTATCGCCTACTTAACTCTCGCACTATAGTAGATACTAGCATTATCTATAACAAATTCTATCGGCGGACCATCCTCGAGGCAAGGCAGGACTTGCTTAGTTAGCTAGAGATAGAAACGATTAGAATTAATCGATCCTTAGTATACGTAAGTATACGGAAGATAGCCGTATAGCGTAAACGCAGGCAATACTAACTATCTAACTTCTCGCCTTATATAGGCAATATTAACGCAAGTTAGACCTCTTACCGACTATCTATACTTCCGCTAACTAGTCTTCTAATTAGATATAGTCTTATCGATAAATACGAGTCGATCTACCGGCTATTTAGCGCACCTAATCGTCTATAAAGCCCTTAAGAACGGATTACGCTCCTTCGCTTTACGTTTAACCTACTTACGAGTTATACCTATCTCCTGCTTTAGGACCTTCGATAGTATAGGCGCCTTTACCTAAATACCCTCTCCGCTATTACTTATCGGTCGTAGCCGTAGAAACTCGTCCTTAAGAGCTTAGATTATCTCTGTAAGAAAATAGGTATATAGCAACGTATAGAACACCCTCTACTAATCGCTATAGTAGAAAGTAGAACTAAACCGTGCCTTTCTTAGAATAGGGCAGAGCGACTACTATTAACTAGGCCTAGTACGGATAGCATATCTGCCGTGCCGGATACCGAGTATGTCCGTACGAGTAATCGAGCATTACGCGTATACGCTAAGCAAGCTTATCGCTAGCGCGGCTGCATCGTACTACACGTAATAACATTATATAATTGTTATATAGGCTTGCTAAGGCAGGATAGGAGACTTTACTTGCTTAGGTTCTTATAATTATCTCCTTCCCCCGGTATAGCTATCCTAGCTATAGGGCAATATAGTAAATTATACTATTTCTTATACTCTACGCTGTATATGCGTACCTTATACGCATCTATTGCTGCGCTATAGTTGCTAGGTACGTTACGATCTGCCTCGTAGTTGCTTGTTTGTTTATAGATTTAAAGCGCAGCTACTTCTAGCACTAACTAGAAGTTACCTAAATTTCTAAGAACGCGGTAGCTACGCGAGAACGTAAGCTGTCCGAAAGCGAGGCGAGTATTTAAAGCATTCGAAGCCCGCTTAAAAACTTCTTCTTTTTCTAAGCGCTCCGAATACTACCTGCCTACCCTCCGCCTACTCCCCTCCTACGCCCCCCTAGTATTACTTAAAGATTTTTCTTTTTTAAATATCTATCTAAAAAAACATTACTAGTATAGCTACTCCTTCGCGTGCCTTAGGCAAGCGCGCCGTAGGCGCTCCGCCCTCGATACCTACTACGCCTACCTAGCGCCCCCTAAAAGTCCTAGAGAGCTATACTTATTGCTTTAGGTATATAACGGCTAATAGTACGTTTTCTCGCCCCTTGCTACGTATACGCGCTTCGTAACTAACTCGCTTTAGATAACTTATCTAAGCTCTACGTAGGCGGCAATATAGACCCTACTACTAAGTGTAACTACGATCGCTACCGTAGCAGCTACTATACCTATACGCCTATTACGGCACGCGCGCTAGTGTCGCTACTAGCCCGCATCCGCGCCGCGCGCGCTACGCGCGACCTTTACGATCTAGACGGCTACGACTCCCTCGAGGAGTTTAACGAGGCCTTAGAGGCACTCTAGGCTAATCTAGACGCCGTCGTCGCTCGTAGGTTTCTTATACGCTCCGCTTGCGCTTCGCATACTAACCTCGTTATTAGTTATCCTATCTACACTCGATGCCTTTTATATTAATAAGAATAAGGTAACCCTAGGCGGCAAAGCCCTAGCCCGTAAGGGGGCCGCTAGCGGGTCCCTTACGGATGTTAACCTACTTAGTGCCCTCGAGAATATCGGCACTAACCTAGCTAGTTTAGTAGAGATTGGTCGTTAGGTATAGTTTTTCCTATAGCCTCGTTTTACTTACGCTTCGTATGCTAACTATACTAGAACCTCGCTTAGCGCGTCGGCGCTAACGCCGTCGCCGCTGTCGATGCCGCTATAGGCATCGAGTAGGAGGAGTCCGAGGAGGAGTCTAAGTATAGGCCTTTTTTAGTAGCGAAACGAGCACGTGTCTACTATTTCTCTTAAGTTTCATTTTCTTTTGTTTTAATTACTGCCTACGCTTACGCTTCGCTTAAGCTTCGAACTCGTCTAACGCTATAGAATCTTTAATATAAACAGCTAGCTCCTAAGTATTGTATTCTTTAGGCTAACCTCGCTACTTAACAAGGTAGTACGCCTTCCGCTTCTTTATCTTCTTTGCTACGATTGTTTCTACCTGCTATTTATCGCCTTTAGCGACGGGTATGCTTACCTT